TATGTTCATAGTATAATATTTGACTCAGTTATTCAAAGTATTACGGAACGGTTTGAAAAGCACAATTTATAAGCCAATCTCATTTGTTTAGATCCAAATAATTTCTGTAGTAATAAACCCAAAACAGAAGATTCGTTAAAAAGTATCCATTTAACTGTTGTACCATTTATGCCAGATTTGTCAAGAGTTTAATGACTTTATTTCCAAATGGCCAAAAATTTAAAAAAAATTATATAAGTGACCAATATAAGGAAGATATCGAAGTAATTTCCGATAGAGAAGATAATTGTTTTGTATGCTTAAATTATAAACTTATTGTGCATATCTTCAGTTAACCTCTTATATTTTCATTCTTTACAGAACAAAATATAAAACATGAACAATGAAAGATGTTCTCATAATACACGAGGAAACAGAGGAAAAAGTGTTGTGTTGTTTGTTGTTTTGGCGTTATAGTTAATTATAATATATTTAGTAACGCTTACCCGGATTTTTATTTTGCGTATAAATTGTTACTTAGATTTTCAATTACTCAAGTAGGATGTGAACGTACTTTTTTTGAAACTTAAGTAGGTATGTAAAGAATTATTTAAAAAATCCAATGTCACGAGATTATTTAGAAAGCTTTGTGTTAACGAGTATTGAAAAAGAAACTATAGTTAACTAAAATTCACCACAATGATAACGTGGCATAATGAAATATTAAAAAAAAATATGTATACTAATTGTTTTCTATTAGAAATTGTTGCCAGAATTTCAGTATACTTTTCTTTTAAACATCCTTAATAAAAATAATACATTTTTTTTTTTCATAAACTGCATACATTTTGCATATAATGACTAGGAAAAAACATTCCGCGCTATTCCAATTTTACATTCGGTAGGTACATATTGTGAAACAGTTTACACAAAATTGGATTATATTAATATTTACAAATCAGAATTAGAGTATATTATTATTGATTGTAATTTATTGTTTTTATTATTATTATGTTTTGTAGGTATTAAAGATTTTATAACTGTAGTGGTTTTATATTCAAATAAAACAATTTGAGAGTAAAAATTGTACACCTACGAGTATTTTATAAAAACACTGCGAGCGAAGAGAGTATAGTAGTATTTTTAGGGCTCCTTGAATTCAGTTCCCGGTAACATAAAATAGCCCTATCCGCCCCTGTTTATAACATAACTTTGGATACTGTTATTGAAAGTTAAGAAAATAGATTTTCAAAGCATAAAGAAATTTACTTAGAATTTGAATTTCTACACCCTACTTTAAATTAATATCAAATTTACCCAAAAATGGAATGAATAAAATAGCTGAGCTTTCAACAGACTTTTCACCAAATATCGATAAAATATATTACAAGAACAATTAAAAGATTTTGCAGAAAAATGGGATTCACTTTCAAAAACATTACCTGAAGAATATAATTGTTGTAAGACATTGGATCCAGAAAAAGACGAGGAAGAAGAGTGGAACAATTTCAGTTAATCTACCGAGCGGTTTTTTCGATTTTTTTTTTTTTTTTTTCTGAACCATAGATAAATTAACGTTTTAATAATGGTGGTGCCAACGAAAATTGGAACTGATCAGTAGTTTCAAAGTTGTAGTCATTTAAAGTTGGTCGATTTTACGGTTATGGTTAAATGGCATACATTCGTTGTTGCATCAAAATTATGTTGTGGCGCAATGGTCAATGTCGCGCGTGAGATGCTTGCAGTACCAGGTTCCGGAACTCCCCGGAATGATCAGCGTATAATTTTTGTAATTTTGTAATGTTTAGTAGACATTTAATTTTTTTTTTTTTTTTTTTTTTTTAAATATAAAGGGTCGACAATTGTTCATCGTTTAACTAAACTTTTAATTAATAATGCAAGTTCGATTTAGGAATGAAAATGGGGATTTCGTGTCCTCCAGACCAGTCTTCTCTATTGTAATTTATGAATGTGAAATAATTTCGCTTTGGTAGGGTCGGTAAAACTGTTCAGCCCGGACCGGTTCGAAGAGCCAATCCAACCCTGCGGCCTCAACATTAAAGGTCTGTATCTTGGAAAGTTTGAAAACAACATTTCGGGAATAACGGTAGAAATCAACACAAAAGAAGCACTGCGTTGGTTCGTATCAAAATTCAACAACGACGGGTTGCCAGACCCGGTAAATGGATTTAAAATACGCGATAAATGTAATCAGAACAAATTTGCTAACATACGGTTTAGCATTCCGTTGGGCGACATAACCCTCGCCCGTTCGCGTTCTTCTTCCTCCGCCCGTACGCGTTCTTCCTCCGCCGCCCGTTCGCGTTCTGCCTCCGCCGCCCGTTCGCGTTCTGCCTCCGCCGCCCGTTCGCGTTCGGCCTTAGACTCGAGCTCGCCGCGGCCCTTGCGGCAGACATAATACGCACAGTAACCCGCGAAACACAGTCCCGCGAAACCGACCGCCGCCGCCGCCGCCATCACCGCCGCGTCCCCGTGAACCGCTCGCAGTCTCGATAGCATGGCGAATGTTCGAGCGCTCCGTCGGTCTTCTTTGAAACGCGCACGTTACACCCGGTCCTTATAGAATCGTGTCGTCCGGCGCGGGCGACGTGCTGGACCGCAGTAGTTTTACAAAAACCGATTGAAGTCCGTCGGCCACGTGCGAAAAGAAAAACGTTCGCGTACCGTAACGGGAAAACAGCAAAAAACAATATAATATTATAGTTCAGTAGTGAAAAAATTGCCGGATTCTGTTTACCGAAATCCCGTTGAAACCGCCAACTATGTCGCGCGCTTGTGAAACGCTCAGAGCTGACCGATAAGAGGACGCAACAGTCCGCAGTCGATGGAGTCGATGTTCGCCTGTTTATCGAAAACGCCGAGTAGTTTCGAACTGTGAACGCTGAATGTGTGCAACGAACTGTCAATACGATAAAAATGTCGTACGTCTTAATTGCAATAAATATATTTATCGCGACTCGGGGTGTTTTGTACGAATGATATTAGTTACTTACACTATGCGTTTCTACGGAAACGCCCCGAACGGTGATTTTCCGCATTAAAGCCGTGTCATAGAATTCCGGCGAATCTGAATTATGGCTATGCTATAAAACTATAACATATCTCGATTGATACGATCAGTGGCGTGACTGCGGACAAATCTAGGGAGGGAGGGGAGGGCGAAATAATTTATTCGCCGTGATCAAAACCCCGAGCCCGCCCCCAGTTTAAATATATTTTTATCGCACGTATTATATACAGCGAGTATACCAAACTGTTTGATTTCACACGAGTCTTGAAACTCATTTGATGGTTTAAAATGTTCACGAAAACAAACTGTAAGTAGCTGGTACTAGGTGGGTACCAATATCGTTAAATAATATTGAATACCTATAAGAGTTCAGAATGTAATTCGTTATTGATCCAAAAAATAACCTCCCGTCCCTGTAATCATAATCACGATTTCAAGATAATAATATCGTATTCATATTTCCTAACCCGACTAATGTGATTATTGCGATTACATATGCAACAAGAAAAACCTAAAATAAATGTTAACTTCTACGAAATAATTTGAGGAAAAAATATTTCAATCTGATAAGTATGTACTCATAGTATGTTACGTCAAATAATACATTATATTCTTTCTCGAGTTGTGATGATTCAAATATTTGTACTGTCGGATTATCGGGGCAGGGGACAGGGGAGGCAAGTGTCCCTCTTTCCCCCCTCCGAAATCACGCCACTGGATATGATAATGATATGATTTATAATGTATAATAATAATATGATTGTGTTAAAACATCAATTGTTTTTAAAGTGTCAGCGGGAGGTGCGGGGGCAAAGTACCCACAGGTGTTTGCGTCTTGAATAATTTTTGGCAACCCCTGGCATTATACGCGAATTACGCCACTGTGTCCCGCAGTACCTATAACAGGTATCGAGTGTCAAGAAACTCGTGTTGAAGTATCTCGGCCCATCCCCCGGTTGCTTAGTATTATATATTCTATGCAAAATGCAAAATTTTGATTTAAAATTTAATTAAAAATATTGCAGTCGTGAAACAGTGTGTAACGCGAAATCAAACAGGTAGAGGCGCAATCGTACTCTTTCGGATAGAGGTACCTACTCAATTGAAATACGATAACGAATCGTACCTAATAATAGTATTCAATAATGGCAACGGCAAGGTGTCTTGATTTCATACAAGTCATACCATTAGTCCGTAGTCGCCGACTTCGCGGGGTGCAACGCGGGCGATCGTCCCCCGTACATTGATTTTAATGTGGGAAGGGGAGGGGGGGGGGTACTTCGACTATAACTGAGGAAAAACGTAAAAAATGGTATTTCGCTTTTGCGTACGGAAAAAAATAAAATAACACCGCGCACAGTAGGTATAGACAGTACAATGTACGGCGTTAATCGTCTATATTATACACGAAAGCAACAACGATAATAACATAATTGCCGGGCCGACAACAATTTATCACTATTAACGACCGTATTGTTGTTTTTCTCGGCGTGTTCGGCAAGCTTTCCAAAACGAATCACAGACAATATTACACTTCCGCGGCCATTTGGACGCTACTGGACCGGAGCGGTCGGGCGGAGGACGATATCGCGGTATCACAATATTATGTTGCTGCTATCAGCGGAGTCAATATTATCGTTGTTTTGTTTGATCGGATTGCAAGCGACGTGCCTGCCTACCTACCCGTCCACCCAGCTTCCTATATAACATTGCCGTTCGCTCGGCATTGAATTTGTCGTAGTCCTCGGCGGTTTTCTGTCCGGCGTCAGTGGTACTGACGCACGTCTCCCCGAGACGAACGCAAACGAACATTTTCACGGAAATCAAAAGACTCGAGACTCGCGTTGCGCTGTCGCCCATCTCATCACTTGCCGACGGTCGCGTTATAATAAATAATAGTTTTTCCGTCGAGACGAGCGCACCGAGTCGCGACATCCATCAACACTGTCCGTCCGGAATATCGTTCCCGGTGAACATTCCAAAATCAATTATGATGGAAATGGCCGAGATCCGAGAGACGTTTAATGGTATAGTGGTCAACGAAGGCGGCGCCGCAAACGAGTACACGCTGGATTTCGATCCGGAATTCGTTATGACGTGTGTGCTGAGGGTACTGGAGAAGGACATCAAAAACAAACCCGATCTGTATAAGTTGATTCAGATCGGTGTAGAACGAGGTAACAATTTGGAAAATATACTGAAGACTTCGAAGCCGGAGTTTGTAATCGAACTGAAGAGACTCATTAAAGAATATTACTTGGTGTCGAAAGCGAACAAATCCAAGAACAGTTTGACTTTGTCTAGAATTTGTGATAGCTTTCCGCTAATTACATGCTCGTACATCCGCCATGCGATTAATCCTACCGTTTCTGTTAGTAAAATGCAATCGATGAGCAGAAATTATCCTACGGTGATGATGACATCTGCTTTTACATTTTTGATACCAAATAAAAACGAAACGTTTTGCATGCTATTGAAAAAAGCACATATGCTTCATCAGTACGAATTTTTCGATACAATAAGAGGTAATCGAATGCGTTCACATTCTGTTGAACGCAATCGTGATTTAATTAATGATGTTATGAAGTGCACCAACGCAGCTATCGAGGCATCGCATATTACTTATGACACACAGATGGAGTTCTTAAAAGAACATAATTTAATAACTACAGCGGATGACAATATAATTACTGTATCGGAAGAAGTTCTCGAAGCAGTCGAAGTTTGGGGAAACAAATTAATAGAATATTACGAAGACTAAAACCAATACGTACAATCTAATGTTATAGGTGATATTTAAATATTTTATGCAATACACGTTTGTAATTTCAGCAGTTCGTTTTTGTTATGGAAGCAATTCATTTTTATGTCGCGAGACATTCAGTTCTACATAAAATGCGGGTAGTCGTGATGGTGTTATTTTCAGTAGGCCTATAATATCTTATACTATATGAGTACATTTATCAACTTATAATGTATCTTCTTGGTAGTAGGTATATCTAGAGTAGGTATTATTTAGGTACCGTGAAATCACCTGATAATTAACGATAATTTAATTTGATTATTTTGACACTATCGACAGACAATGAATACTAATAATACCATTGATTTTGTCGATTTTTTTTCTATAAAAATCAATAATACCCACCTAATGAACAGGCGCAGAAATGTAGTTTTATTTTATTTTTACTGGTCTTTGAGTTTGACATTATGACAATATAATAATGTTTACCATTTATTGTTTTTAACAATGAACAGATCTATTCTATATAATAATAATAGATCAGATTCTATTGGTGCATCTAATAGGTGCACCTATGCACCTACATACGCATCACACTTAGTGATATAAATTTAAATACGAAGATAGATATTAAAATAATTACGCATACCTGCCCTGCATATAAACCAAATGACAATTATTAACCGTAGTCATTTTTATTACCAAATGATATTTAAATTAATATTAAATAAAAAATAATTAAGTCTGGAGTATTTATGACTTGTAATATTGCATGTGCACACGATTTTAAAAATCACCATCAAATAATAGTAACATTTATGTAAAACAAAAAGAGAAAAACGAGCCGATATTGCCGGGGACGGGTGCAGCCACCGTTGTAGGTGAGAAGTTGGGATAGTAGGATACATTAGATTATTTCATTTATATCTGTAAGCAACGATAAACCATTGCTGACGAAAGACGATTCCGAGCGCAGTTCGGTAATATACAATTTGAAGTGCCGTAATTTTTTTTTGCGATTTTGCGAAATTTGATTTCAAAATGCTTATTAAAAAAATAAGAACAATGGAACAAAAAATGTTTTTCGATTATAGCGATTTTCCCAATAATAAACGTTTTCCGTATTAATGTAAAATAATGATATCGTGAAATTGTACGTTTTTCCAGCGTTTTTTTTTTTTTCGATTATTATGAAAACTAATTCAAAAATCAAAAAAACGAACTGCGTTACTAAAAAAATAATAATTCAACAAAAAAAAGATCTCTTGTAGTTTTTCTATAGGAGCCATATTTGTACTAGAAAACGTGGTAGGTACGAAATAACGAAAAATAACGAAATCCTGAAAAAATCGTAGTTTTTCCCCCGGTTAAACGTTTTTATTTTAAATACCGATTCGAAAACTAAAAATTGACCTATGTATTTACCTATGTATGTAAGAAATTAAACAAAAAAGGTGTCTTGTGATTTTTCGATTAAATCATTTTTTCCGGTAGAAAAAGTTGTCCGTGTTTTTATAAAATAATGAAATCGTGAAATTGTACGTTTTCCTACGTTTTTTTTTCCACTTAAGTACTTTTATTTTGAAAAAGGCGTCGAAATATCCTCTCTAAAGTACCATCCAAGCAACTCGAGCTTTCAGAAAAGGTTCTACACGTAAAAATCGGAGCAAGTTTACTAGGAAAAAACGTGTCCACAGACTACAAAAAAAAAATAATAAACATCTGCGTATAACCAATAGCTCCCTCACCACGCTCGGAATCTAATAATACTGCGGAACGAATGCTACTGCTGTAAGTACGAAGTTGAAAAGATAGGACACAATATGATGTTATTTAATCCGTATCTGAACGAAAATATAAATTGTTGCCGACGAAATACGATTCTGTGCGAAGTTCTTGTGGACATGATATTAAATGCCGTAGTTTTTACGTTTCTGGTAAAAATTTGAATCTAGAATTCGTATAAAAAAAAAAAAAAAAAAAAACTAATAAATTAATTAATAACTATGTACAATATTTATGATGAACATCGAGTAAAATTTTCTAAAATTTTGGATGGTTAAAAACAATTTTATCCACACAAAACCAAATAAAAATCGGAGCAAGGTATCAAATAACGCAAAATAATTAGAATAATATTTTGAATGTACAAACCGGTTTTAAAAATAATAAACTATATCAATGCACTTTAGATAATAAATGATAAACAAATGACTTATATTGATTCTCGACGTATCTATGTCGAACACTAACCCATTTAAAACAATCTCTCCTATTAAAATAAAGTGTTTCTATGTAAAACGACCAATTTGTAAACATTTTTTTTCTCTATGCATTCCTCCGTTTAAATTTTTTTTTTTTTTTTTATTCAGCCGCGTTTTACATTTTTAACTGTGACGTTTGCCCGATGATATGAATTTTCAATTCGAAACCGGTCGTATAAATACACTCGTCATAATACTCCAGGCCACGCATTTATTCGTTTATTTATTTTTTATTTTTTTTGCATACGTGTTTTATTTACGAGTATTAACCATTTCAATAATTTCGTTTTCACGTCGTTATTTTCGGCAATATTGGTTAGTGTACATTTGTCATGAACCCCCCCCCCACCCTCCCGCCGCCGAATTTGTTGTTTTTTGTGTACGTGCCTGGTTACAGGTATAAATTTTAAATAACTTAATGCGTCACACACAACAGTGGCCGCACCCGTCCCCGGGTATTTTTTTATAATTCAATCCGTAATTGTTTTTTATGCATTTAATAATTGCAAATTGAATTTATGACGATTAAAATTATGATTATAACGGTTAAAAAGATCCCGTCCCGAGAATTCGAATCTGTTTTCAGCGTTCTTTTATCGGTCCGCCACGCCGAAAGATTCCGGTAGTTTTTACGCGAAAAACCACCAGACGTTCGGTACCAGGGGCGCATAACGAGTGTGACTCGTCGGTGGCGGTCGTCGGCTTGCACCACCGGGACGCGTGCCGTTCGGCGTCGCGGTCTCCGGGCGAAACGACCGCGGCGACCCGGTAGTGTCGGACCGCACGGCTCTTGAACGACGACACCGGCCGCGGACAGACAGGTTTTCCGCACCATAATATTAACACGGACTACGCGGTCGGCCAGTGGCGCCGTTGGAGTGGCACCGGTGAGACGCATCGCGGTACCAGGGGCGCATCACATGGAACGCTTATTGCCGGCGTCCGAGCGATATTCCCGCGACGCGGAGTCGGCGGCGGCCGTCGCCGCAGCGCACACCGCACCTCATGTTCTCCTGGTACCGTGTGGTCCTTAATAAAAATTCTCGTTGCGATGCCGACCCCGAGGCCCAAGGCCCTAGAAAAGTTTCGGAAACACCGTTAATAATAATAATAATAATAATTGTTATTATTATTTGAATTTCGTGCGCGCGCAAATGAAACATACGGATAAAAAATCGTTCGCGTAGTCGAATGTCAGTGGCTGGATGAACCCAAAAATACGAGCATACGAGCAGCAACAAACAACCTTTCACAAAAAACGATTCTGAACAGAGTTCAGTTGATAGTGATGTTTTGTCGACAATATATGTGTCAAAATACTGTAAAATAATTACATATGCATTAAACATTTTCTTTGATATTGTATCTATTTTCCCTCGGGTTTTTTCGGTTTTTCGAATATATTGAGAAAACCCCTGGGAAAATCAAAAAATTACCTCCCTAAAGTACCACCCCGTTCAGATTTCCTTTAGGAAAAAGTGCTACACATATAAATCGCAGATAAGAAAAAAAAAATAGAAAAATAAATATCATTGTAAAATCATAAGTTTGTTCGCTCATAATCACTCATAATCTAAAACTGTAGTAAATAGGAAATTGTTTGGTGTTATACACGATTTATTTTTAAAAAAGCTGTCCTAAAATAATGAGTACGGATGATGCAGCCACTGTTGTTAATAAGAAGTTCGGAAAGTACAGACGGGAATTTAATGTATTGATGTAAAACAATTCCGAGCGGAGCTCAGTTAATAGTGATGCTTTATCAATAACATACAGGTAAGCATTATATATTTTCTAGAATATTTTCAAATATTTGTTTAATATAGTAGATACCGATTTTCCCGTTTTTCCTACGTTTTTCCCGGTTATCCCATGTTTTTGTTTGTTTCGTGCTTCCCATGACAACTCTTAGAAAAATCGAAGAATGATCTCTTAATAGTACCACCCCAAGAAAATTTCCTTTCAGAAAAAATGCTACACATAAATCGGAGCGATATTTCTGGTAGAAAAGTTGTTTACAGATAAAAAAAAATTGTTGACGGACATTTTTGACTATTTTCAATTCTATGAAAATAATTTGTACATTTCCGGTTTGATCCGTGTACTATGTATATAGCACAATAGAATAATTGTAAAATAAAAAAAAACACATTCATAAGTTGAAAAGTTTTAAAGATAAACAACAAAAATGCGCGATAGGTATGATTTAATTCAAAAAAACACTGCAGACATACTTCGCACGATAGGTGGACCACTGTTGTAGATGAAAAGTTGGGGATGTAGGATACAGAGGGGAATTGAATAGATATCTATAAGCAAAGATTAACCATTGCTAACGAAAAACGATTCTGAGCGGAGCTAGGTTAATAGTTTTGCTTTCCAAGCGAACGATCGTTTGGTCTCTAAGTACATCTTAAATGTTTTTTCAACGATGCATATATTATGCCATATTATTATAGTAAAATAAATATACAGTGCACGCTAAAAGGTACCACTAAATATTTCAGTTGGACGACCTACTTTACTTGTATATAGTTAAAAACGTATTATTATAATAATAACTTTCCGCGAAAATATTATTGCTTCGTAACGCGTATTAAATCTGCGTATAATAATAGCTAGGTTAGCTTATGTCGTCGAGGTCAGTGGAGTTCTGTGGTGAGGGAGGAGCCGGGGAGGGGTCGAATTTCAAATCCGTAGGAGTGACGGGACACAGCTTCTTAAGTGTTAAGTTATAGGCAATAATATATAGCGGTGACGAAAACCCCAAGATGGGAGGAGGGTGATACGCCTATTGCTTTTTCCCCCCGTATCTACCACTGTACCAATGTCTGTGGTATATCTACGTGATGAACCTCGAGTACCTAAACCCGTATACTCACGTGGCGTATAAAGACATCCTGTATAGGTATTTATTTATCTAATATTATCCAATATTATAATTATCAATCGTCATTACCGGTCAAACTAAATAATATTATTTTGGTCAATGTACATACATCAAGAATAATTCAAAAATATGTTTTCGTAAAAGCGGTACTTTGCAGTTTTGTACCCATCAATATTATATTGTTGTTGTGCCCGTGACCAGTGCAGTTCAATAATAATGTCTGTCGGCATTGCTGACTGATGGGCGTCGCGATTGGGCACACCAATATCCACAATGCAGCTATAAATACACAATACACCAATAAGGCCGTTTAAAAAGTCATTAGTATTTGGATTTTGACTTGGTATCTATATCGGTGCACCGCATATTATTGTGGTCATTAGTTCAGTGCCTATTCAGTACCTATTCAGTTAGTACCTATACTGTTTGTCGTCGTTGCGAAATAGCGAACACGTCATATTTCTACTCGTAATATTATTAGCGTTCGTTTCCTTTGCTCGTCGTACCGATAGACGTTTTTTCCGAAGTCCGGTTTGAGCTCACATCAACGACCGAAGATAGTATAATAGGCTAGTCGATCGCAGACCGGCTCGGTTTTCGCAAATGTCCTTTAATACGCTTCATTCACAAAATGTACCTATTATCGTTATGAATGTATCGTCAGATCACTAGACACCGCACACTTATATTTAATACCAATGTAATAACTTATAATTATAAAATCCACCTATATTATATCCATATTGTATCAAAAATTCAAAAACGGGCGAGTCTGTGTTCTTAAAGGACTCTAAAAAGTTAATGATTGAAGAAAACCAGATTATTTCTGAAACATTGGTTGCAATAAAATCCAATCATTTTGGAATAAAACAAGCAAGGAAAATACTTGGAGGAGTGTTCAGAACAGCATAAACAACTAAAAAAGACGACCAGGGCCAGCTAAAATTCGATCTGAAATTTATTGTGATGGCTATAACGAAGGTGCACTCACAGCAAGCCAGTGAATGTAATAATGATATTCATAAGATGATAATGATCTGTGTAGAAAGAGGAAATAATTTGAAGAAAATACTTATAACATCAAAATCAAAGTTTGTATATGAACTCTCTCGACTCATAAAAACGTATCACCTGGTTTCAAATGCAAATAATTCTAAATACGATAAAAAACTTTATCTAGAATTCGTGATACTTTTTCAACAGTTACATGTTCGTACATCCGTCATGCTCCTAATCCTATCGTTTCTGTTAGTAAAATGCGATCAATAAGTAAGAACTATCTTTCGGTGATGATGACATCTACATTTGCATTTTTGATACCTAGTCAAAGTGAACAATTTTACTCGTTATTAAAAAAAGCACATATGCTTCATCAATACGAATTTTTGCTGCAATAAATGGTACTCGAAGGCGTACCCGTTTTTCTGAACGTAAACACGATTTTCCTTGCGTTATGAAGCGAGTGCTTCATGACACCAACGTAGCAGTAAACGAATCACCTATGAATTATGAAACGTAAATTATTTTCTTAAAAAAAATACAATTTAAATAATACAGATGCGGATAACAATATAATTATTGCTGTATCGGAAGAAGTTCTCGAAGCGGTCAAAATTTGGGAAGAAAAAGTGAACAATTACGTAGTAATAGGTATAGTTAGGTATAATTATTATAAAATCTTAATATGTAGTCTAATGGTTATTAACAAAACTCGGATTTTATAGCATTTGCTAATTATTACGGGATGCGGATAAAACTAGCAGAGTGAGCTTTACGTTTATTTTATCAGCCAGACTACAAATATGAAATTTCATAATACTATTTTTTGCATATTTAAAGTAATTCGGATTTTTAGCGCTATTTTTTTGATTATATGTATAATATAATGGTTTACTTTGTATTTTTTTAAAAATCTTTCTTTTAAGTGAATCCTTAAGAAATATATCTACATTTTCCTATCATAATTTATTTTTATGTAGCCCGGCTTCTTGACTCATAGTTTGCATTTATAACTTTTCTCAGTTGCATATATATATTTAAAAAATAAATAAATTTACTTCTTAGTTATTTTTCATATTTTTATGGCATGCTATAACTTATTTTAAAAATATTTGAACATATTATAGCATTTATTTTAATATTATTTATTAAGCCATATATAGTGCATGTTTCAGTTATTTGCAGTGCTATAAAATCTGAGCTCTGATTATTAACCTTGACAAATAGTTAAATATTTATACTTTTTCTATTATTATTATAATTAATCATATCATACAGTTTATAAGTATTTGGATATTTATACTAAAATTACTATAAATTTTTTTTTACATTTGATCAGTTTTAGAATTTTTATATATTTTCTCATTAAACAGTGGTTATTTTACATTGAGAAATGGCTTTTTAATAATTTAGTATTAAAAATACAAATGTTATATAAGTATAAGGTATTTGTACTATTACTGTGGTTAATATTTCCAGCCACTAAATCCATAAGTTGGAATTTATTACAAGCAACAGTTGATAGACATCAAACCAAAAGTATTAACATAAATTAGATATAAAGTATTGTTGTAGTACTATAGCATCACCAATTGATACATTTTTCACCAGTTTAAAAGCAAAAATTATAGTTCAACAATATTATAATGTCACCCACACATATTATGATATGCATCTACTTTAATTTCTTCTTATTTCTAAATAATCACAGATATGAAACTATAAATGAAAAGAACTTAATAGTTTAATAATTTTTCCAACTAATTGTAAAATTTAAAAAAAAAATAGTGTTATAATAATTAATACAGAATGTGTATGACAAACACAACTAATTAAAGTATTTATAAATAATGTATTTTCATTTATTTCAATATATGTATATATCTATAAACTATTCTATGCATCATGATAAAATTGCAATGGATTTTATTAAATAGGTAGTGTACTCATATAGAATTGGTACAAATAGTATAATAAAAAGCTTTAGAATATTAACTAAAAATTTGCTATCACACACTCAACATAGTAATGTAGTATTATTCTCATAGATTTTTAAATGAAAATTTGAATTTGACACAAATATTAATTATTGAATTAGTTAATTTCAATCTTTATTTAATTAATTAGTGTTATCCAGTTAGTGACCATTAAATCTGAATATTAATAATAATTTAGTAATTCCCCAACAACAATATTTACTAGTTGTGTATAATAATTATATCTATTGCTGGATCATCTCAAAAGCCAAAAAGTAACAAAGGATATTAACTTGATAAAAATCAACATCAGTAAAACAGATTAGTTATTAGGCCTTAATAGATTTTTCTGAAAAATAAATAACCCATTAAGTTAAATATTATTACATTACTATATCATTTTAATGAAATACAATATAAAAAGACTCCATTAGGATTGAGAATAATATGAGAAAAGCAAGTGTATTTGGAATAGATCGGGCCAAGTGAAAGTTTAGGATGAGGGTGACCCTAAAGAGTTGTAATGATGAAGGAGAAAAAGACAAAAATATTACATTTCTATGTTGTGCATATTGTAGGTCATCAGATGGAATCTTCTCTTAAAAAATAAATACATGTTTTAATTTGAACACTGCAATTTTATCATAAATAAACGATTCTGATAATTTATTGTTGACAATATTTTATAAAATAACAATTAATTAAATAGTAAAATATGAGTATTATCAATTATTTAAAAGATAAGAGATTTTAATAGAAAATATAAAGGGTTAATACAAAATAATAATACATTTTTCTGTTGATAATATTCTTATTTGATAATTTGCTTTGTATCCTTAGTAAATATAATTATGATTTAGATTCAAACAATATATGTAATTTGAATTTTTCTATTTTGTTAACTAATTGTATAAATGTATATAGTATACATAAATATACATTGCACAAGAACATACTAATACATTGATTTTATTATAAACAAAATATACTAACTATGTTATATTAAATATTTTGTATACTGACAAATTAAATGAAATATATTATATAAAATCTAAGGATTAATAAAAATAAAAAGTAGCGACCAAAATATATTTTATTGAATTAAAAAATAATTACAAGAAAGTATTTTTAAAAGTTTATGCTATAATATTATAAACCCGACTATTTCGTAAACAAAAAAAAAATTGTTACAAACAAAATTGGTTGTTACGCAGCAATCAGAGCAAAAAAATGTCTTAATAATAAAAAAAAATGTGAAGTATAAGTAGTGTCAATTGTAACTATATTAAATATGTATAAAAAAAAAAAAAATTATAGTTATAGTAATAAATGGTACTGAAAGAATATTAATAAATTGTTAGAGATTTCTATTATGATATTTACAAACTACAATTAACTTATTATTAGAATTTGGAATTTTGAATAATGTGGTTTTTACTACCTTATACTCTATTACCTTGTATCCCTATAAAATATAACTTACATTAATATCTATCACAATACGCCTACAATATTGTTCATCATAATAATATACTAAGAGTTAATTTTCAGGGAAAAAAACTAGTAATATTTAATAAATTTAAAAATCTTATTTTAGTTTTCATTATATAACTATATTAGTTACAATTAACACTGTTAGTGACATTTTATGTAGAAGTTAAAATTGATTTATCTCCAAATAAACATTTTACAAATAAAATTGTCCAAATATTAATATTGTAACAAAAACATACATTGAATTCTTATATATTATTAAACAAGGCTGATATGAGGAAAACTAATAAAAACATGTAATTCTTAATACATAATATTATAGAATTTTATTAGATCCAATTGTTTGCCCATATTGCTGCTACAAACACTTTTTAAATTTTTAAAAATGTAAAACATTAATCTATTTGCAGTATAATATTTACCTTTGCAGTAAATATAAAATTACATTTATATAATTATATTAATATTATTTAATTCTCATGAAGATGTTATTTTTGAGAGCATTGCAAAGTACCTATAAGAAAAAAAATAATTACTTGTAAATGTAATATTAGAAATATTATTTTAAACATAGTGTCTTATTAATTTAGAAGGCTTAAATATTATGAAGTACAATTTTTTTTATATCATTATTTAATTTAATAATACAATTATAGTTTAGTTTCTGAACAAATACAAATGGAATAAACAAAGGACAAACTGTCAGTTAAAAAATACTAATATGTTTATTCTGTCCCAGAAAATAAAATGCTTAAAAAAGTAATTATTCTTAAATTATTTTTATTTACAGCTATAAACATCAGGAACTCAATTCTGTAGCATTGGTTAATAAATACAGATAAAAATACTAGTGAATAAAATATGATCTATGCATCAAAAATTCTAAAAATAAAATTTAATTTTCTATATCTAAGGCATTTGAGAATTGGAATGCATTTACAATGTTTTTATAAAAAATTACTAGTTATTTTTTGTCGTTAATTGAATGAAAATGTTAATTGATAAAAAAAAAATACATGCATTTTTATTAAATAAAATTTCATTTTATGATCCAATTTTGGTTGCCTAGTATGGCAAGCCAGTTGTTAAATTAAATGTAAGATCTTAATGATATTAATAAAAACAATAATTTTTATTTTTAGTGCATATGAGTTTTAGTTTTGACTATATTTTTAGTAATATTATAGTAGTATATCATATACTAATTCAGTACTGTGTGAAACTATACAATTGATGATCAATAATAATGAATGATAAATTGGCAAAGTTTATATCATTCAAAGTTTCTGAAACCACTGAATAAAGTATATATAATAATTTATAAACAAGTGTTAGATATTTTTGGAAGGAGTATAGAAATTTAATATTTATTTGATGTAATAAAAATTTTAAATGATTAAATCATAAAATATTTATAACTGTGCTTGAATTATTATTAGAAAATAAATCTAAGGACTGTGACTGCATTTTGTCCCACCTGTATTTATTAGAAACATTATATTGGTGAATATATTGTAGGAAAATAATTCTACCTTGATAACAACCTACAGTAACCAAGCAGCAACCAAAATGATTGATTTAGTGTAAAAATTATTTTTCTAATAAAATAGTGTTTCCACAAAATATTTTCGAACATTTTTAACTACTACAAATTATTAAAAATATTTAACATATCTATTGACCATTGTTATTATGTCATTTTTTTCATAACTTTCAATTTAAAATTATGAATATAAATTCAAATTATTTAGTGACAATTTATCTGGATATGCTTAAAACATTTTAAAAACTAAAGAAATATATACGCATGTCAGCCATTCCATTATAAATAGGTGGAGTAAAATTATACCAAACAAAAGAAAAGTATAGATACTATTAAATATGGGGATATATTATATTAAATATTACTAAATATGGAGAAACCCACATTCAAAATTGTTGAGAAAATATAATACTTTATATTTTGAATAGACCACCTAACCTTTTGATTTATCTTATGTAACTTAAAAATGATCAAACTTCAATTAAACTAAAGATTTTTAAATGTTATCATAATTATTAAAGATGTTTAAGACAAATTAACACCCAGACATTATACAATCAGAACACCTATGTACAGCATAGAAATATACTGTAAATAATATAATTTAATTCATTCACTATAGCGAATTAGATAGAAACAACACATATTTTAAATCATTTTTTTCTCTTTTCTTTTTCACTAAACCTGACCACTGTTGTATAAGATAAAGTATTAAAATCATCATTACGTTTTCTATCAGTAACAGATACATCTTTACATTCATTATTCAAAACTTGAAAATGATTGTAATAGGATGAATAGATTTCCTTCTTTTCATTGAATTCTCCATGTTTCTTTTTGATATTATAGTAATTATGTTGAACCTGGATATCATCTTCTCTATTTACAGCACCTGGAGTACTTAGTTCCTAAATACCAAAAAAAAAAAAAATTAAAAAATATAAATTATAAACTACAAAAATAATACTTTAATACTTCACATACCCCCCAACATCTATCAAACTGGTAAAATCCAATTTTTTTAGTTTTAGCCTTTACTTTATTGCCACTGATATTAATTGCAATAGCATTTGTTATTATTGTAAAAATATAGACTTGAAGTTCTGTGAGAGTTCTTATTTGTCCAGTATTAATTTTCTTCTTAATTTCTTTAAAAACAACCGGTCTACAAAAAAAAAAAAAAAAAAAAAAAAAAAAAATTATAAAGAAAACACAATGTTTTGAGTCAAAAAAACTACTTCTAGAATTGTGTAAAGAAAAAAAAACCATATAACACAAATTTGGTAATAATTTTCAGAAATAAATAATATTTGGTTATACTTTTATTCAAATTAATCGTAGAGTATACATTAAAGATATTTAAAAGATGGATGTTTATAATTATGTATGAAAAATATTTCAATAAAAACTCAATAAATTAAAATAGTAATTATTCTATAAGTTTTAAACAAATAAAAATTGCCAAATACTTTTATTGATAACATAAACAACTAAAAATTTCATATAAATGTTATCACATATATATATATATATATATATATATATAATAATTTATTTTATAAAATATTGTATGCTATACAGAATTAATTTGTAAACATTTATCAGCCAAAAATTATTAGAAAACACAGTTAAAAAATAACCCACAATTCAGTTTTTAAAAAATTTAATTGTTTATAAATGCCACAGTATAGCACACACATGGCTTTGTACATCTGTAATTACATGTAATTTGTAGACCATATTTTAATAGGTATTGAACTCTTCTATAATGCAGTCATCAGATCTTATACAGTTGGGAATTGTAACTAATTTAAGTTTATCACCAACAACTTAATTAAAGGTACCTATATTGGTTAGGTTTACATTCCCTATTTTTCAAACAATAAAAAAAACTCTGAAAATAAACCGTGTTCTTTAGGGTTAAATAATACAAAATTGTGGATAATTTATTCATAGAAGGGGCAATGATTTATTTTATTTGTAGGGTTTGGAAGAACCAAAAACAGATTAAGAATTGCTGCTATACTACTCAGGCAATATCCAAACCTGCAATTTTATTATTCATATTAGGTTTTTTTTTTTTATTAAAATATTTTAGAGAGCTTTTTAAAAATTTTTTTTTAAAAAATTGTATTTATAAAACTGAAAATCATAATATATATTCAAATTATTATTTTTGGGATAGAATGAATGTCAAATTAAGTATTTCAATATAAACTACACTTAAATTTTAAAAAATAAATTGTTTAGTTAAATATGTTGAAAAAAATGTACAGCATATTTTATGTTTAGTGCCATAAAGTGCCAGCATATTTAATAGGTTTCATTAAAACAGTATTTGTCTTCTACCTTACAACATTTAAGAACCCCAATTTGTTTAGTAATTATAATTGTTCATAACTAACATATGAACTGTAGTTCACATACTGAACTAAGAACAGTTTTCATGCAATCTGGGGCACAGATCTATAATTCATTATAAAAAACATATTAAATTTATCAGGAACTATCATTTGGAAATATGGTGATTTTTATTTTGTTTAACTAATTTTAAAATGTATTACCTTCTGATGATAAATGAATTTTCTTCAGACAAATATTTTACATGCCTCTCAACTCTTGTAAAAGTTTTGATGCCACATATTTTATTCAGTAATATTTTTAAAATTTTTTTGCTCAAAAAAGTTTCTTGTGAAACGCTGAAAATATGAAAAAATAATATTCTTTTAAAATTTGATCAAAGGAAATGTTAACTAAACTGTTTTCATTCTCTGAATGTTAATTTAATATTAAGTCCACAAACAAATCATTACTTTTGTGGTTTAATTGTGCTAATGTTTGGTAAACTGAGACAGTATAACACAAGTGTAATGTTACACAAATTAATATTAAATTTTAAATATTTCCCCAGCATACCTATCGCCAGTACATTATTTCATTAGATTTTTTTTATGCAATTCATCTAAAATAGTTATGGTTGCCAGAATTTTATTTACATTATAGATTATAGGGTTAAAACTCCTGATATTTTTTAAGGAAACATACTATTTGTTGGGGGGGGGAGATGCAAGTTTAAACCCCCAAACAGCATATCTTTAACACCATGCATAAAGAAAGTTTCATAATCCTGGCTTTCATTTATAAGTGAGTTTGTAATGTTGCACAAAACTGAAAAAAAAACCCACTCCTTATAGAGACATAATGTTCAGAATTCTCATTGAATGCCCATAAAACATCCCACAATTTACAATATTGAACTCATTTGAATCAGAGCCACTAAAAGTGCCCAAAAGATAGGATAGGAGAAATTGATACACACTATATAACAAACAAAATATTCTTCATTCTGAAGAAAAATGTACAAAAACAAGAAATAAATTATAAAATCAAAATTACATCTTACCTCTTTCTGGAATAAAACCTGTCGGATTCTCGTAATTCTTTGCTTCTTCTGGTTCTTTTAGCTGGGGGTTCAAACACCTAAAGAAAAAGTGTTTTTTTTTTAAAAAAAATTATTTTTTTTGGGTGGGGGGGGGGGAAACATACTTTGGGTAGTTGACTTTTTTTATTTGCTTGGTTGTCCCTGAAAACATTTTAAATATAATAAATGCCAAGTATAAATTGAGATTAATTATACAAATAAAGTTGTGATTATATCTGGCTTGAAGTAATTAATATTAATAAAAAAAAAGTAACTTAATTTAATATTAAGAGTGACCTACTGTGTAATTTACTATTTATTATTATTAAACCTTTTCTTTTTAAAATAAAAATAACAAAAAATAATGATTACAATATGTTTACATTTGAATAGTACACAATGAAATCATTTTATGTAAAATAATATTTAAGATCAATCATAGAAACTTTTTTTTATTTGTTTTATTTGCTATCATGATTTAAGATATACTGGTTAAAAGAAGATCAATTATTATTTTTTTTTTGTTTTTGTTTATTTTGTAAATTATTTATTATCTTTAAGATAAACATATAAATCATGTTATTTGTGATTGGTATATCAATCATATATAATTTTCTAGCAGAGCAGCCCATGATCAGTTCTGACACAGGTTTTAAATTAACCTCAACACATGTTGTCATCAAACCAGTACATCTTAAAAAGTGATTATATAAAAGATCAATAATAATTATGGTCATACTTTTTAGACTTTTGGAGTTTTTCATTTTCTATATCAATTCTACGTTTTCTTCCTCGTTTCTTGGGAGCAGGTTTTTCACCAACATCAATTTTTTTTTGTATTTGTTCTCCAGGATTTACACTACAATTTTATAGATGTGTTATTATTTATTAAAACTCTATGGTAATAAATTATATCTACTTACATTTTGGGATCCAGTTTTTTAGAAGAATCATTATTTGCTGCAGCAAGCCTTAATGCTTTCAACTCGGCTATCTTTTCTCTATATTCCGCAACTTCATTTGAACTAATAAGTACTACAGGAACATTTGAATTCATTTTTTTATTCATGAACACCTTTGCTGCCTCTTTTTTAATTAACTCTATGGTGTTATTACAGTTATAACCAGATGCGGCTGGAATATCATAGGCTATAAATTTGTTTGATCTTATTGGGCGATATATTTTTAGGCGAGGTTTTTTTTTAATAGGTTTTTTCTTCGGTGCAGATTCTGTTTCATTAGGACTGTAGGAAAATTTAGACTTAACTTTCTTCACTCTACTAATTTTAAATAATGATGAAGATCGAGTTCTGCATTTAAAAGCAAATTTCCTATTTTGACTAATGATTGTCTTTCTAATACTTACAATATTAGGGCCTGTACTAGAAATTGCGAAATCTTTATATTTTCTTCTTGATTTTGAAACTATATTCATTGGCATATTAAAAAGACTTATTGAATTCCTACATCTACGAGATACTAATGAAACGCTAGAACATTTAGTATTTCCTGGAGTATTTCCTGAAGGTTCAGTTTTAGAATGATTATAACTTGTGCATGGTGACTTTAAGTTTTCTTCGGTCTTTGATTTTCTTTTCCTTGTCATAATTGTAGTTTCATTAACTTTAGGTTTTCTAACTACATATTCAATGGCATTCTTTGATTTTTGCTTCTTCTGCTTCATTTTTTTAGTAATATTTTTTTTATTGTCAATAGATTCAAGTTGTTTAGTTCTATTATCAAAAGCTAAAACATCCTTTTTTTTCAATAATTTTTTACCTTGCAATTTTTTAGTTTTCTTTCTCATTTTTACCTCTTTAGCTTTAGTTTTAGCCAACTGAGATTTTCTTATTATTTCAGCCTCTCTGAATTCCAAATCTTTTTGCTTCTTTAATTCAGCTTCTTTTATTTTAGCTATATTCTCTTCTTTTCGTTTTAATTCGAGTAGTAGTTCAGCTGCTTTTCTTTGTTCAATTTCCTTTGCTTTTCTAACATCAGCTTCTTCTTTTGCTCTTTTTATTTCAGCTTCTTTAAATTTTTTTACCTCTGCTTCTTTAGCTCTTCTTAAAGCTATTTCTCTTTTCTTTCTAATTTCTTCTTCAATGAGTCTTCTTCGAGTTTCAGCTTCTTTAATTTTTCTTCTCTCTTCTTCAACTTTCTTGAACTCTTCTACTTTTCTTCTTCTCATTTCCGCTTCTCTCCTCTCAACTTCTTCGGCTCTTTGAATTTCGATTTCTTTGGCTCGTTGAATTTCGATTTCTTTGGCTCGTTGAATTTCGGCTTCTTTGGCTCGTTGAATTTCGGCTTCTTTGGCTCTTTGAATTTCGGCTTCTTTGGCTCGTTGAATTTCGACTTCTTTGACTCTTTGAATTTCGGCTTCTCTGGCTCTTTGAATTTCGGCTTCTCTGGCTCTTTGAATTTCAGCTGCTTTGGCTCTTTGAATTTCGACTTCTTTGGCTCTTTGAATTTCGGCGGCTTCTTTGGCTCTTTGAATTTCGGCTTCTTTGGCTCTTTGAATTTCTTCTTCTTTAACTCTTTGAATTTCGGCTTCTTTGGCTCTTTGAATTTCTTCTTCTTTGACTCTTTGAATTTCTTCTTCTTTAGCTCTTTGAATTTCGGCTTCTTTAGCTCTTTGAATTTCGGCTTCTTTAGCTCTTTGAATTTCGGCTTCTTTAGCTCTTTGAATTTCGGCTTCTTTGACTCTTTGAATTTCGGCTTCCTTGGCACTTTTAAGTTCAGCTTCTTGAACTTTCTGTAACTCGGCTTCTTCAGCTCTTTTTATTTCAGCATCTCTAGCTTTAATAATTTCAATTTCCTTAACTCTTTGTAAAAATTCAGCATCCTTAATTCTTTTATTGTCAAAACTTTTTACGTCAATTATTTTTTTTATTTCATTCTTTTTATTAGCTCGTTGCATAATCTCAGCTTCAAACTCATCATTTAATTTAGTTTCATTAACTCTTTTTATTTCAGGTTTTTTAAGTCTTTTCATTAGTTCAGATTCCAATTTATTTTCAGTGGCTTCTTTTACATTTATATCCTCTTCCTCGACATTTATACACATATTATCTTCAGAGGCCATTATATTTTTGATTACTCTTTTATTGTATTCTCTTGGATTTTCTCGTGGTAATTTCAATGATCCTCTTAAACATTTAAATTCAGTTTTCTCTCTTGATCCAATTAATTTAGTTTCTTTCATTATATTGGTGTTTATTAAATTATTATCATTATTACTTGAACAATTTATTTTATTTTCTTTTGTTTTAGAATCTTTTATTTTTATTTCCATATTATTTATATTAAAAGAACAACTTTTAAAATTCAATATATCAGGTTTATGAACATTAACAAAAGTGTTTATTTCTTTTGGAATATTTTTTTCACTAATTTTTGTTCCAATAGAATCGGTTTCTAATGAATCATCATCAACTTCGATTATAAATGTTGATTCCAATTCATGTAATTTATTCAATTGTTCATCATTCGATTTGTAGGTTTTTATTTCATTATTACATTTAATATTTTTTTTTGGTCCAGGGTCATTTGAAGAAAACTGAATGGGATTTGGTACTATCTCTTCTTCATCACTACTTATTTCAACAATTTCATCAGAAGAAATATTTTGGGAAACAACCTCTTTATGTGTGGTAACACGGTTTGAATCAATTTTACTCATAACATCCGATATTACACCTTGCAATATAGGAATTCCAGTAACCGATACTGCTGAGATTTGATCACGAGACTGAACAAAACCTTTATCACCATTTAAATCTTTTCCATCATTTGCAATCTTTGGGTTTCTATTAAGAGATTTAATACCCTTAGAAGTTGATGAATTAAGTGATACTCCAGTAATCTGAGCAAAAGTATCAAAAGCTCCAATGGTTGAATCACTTCCACTTACAGAGGAATCTCCTTGATCCAAATTTATTATGTTTTCACGTACATCTGTTTCACTATTATCTAAAGAACTACACTCAATTAAAGAATTCAATTCTTCATTATCAAAAGAATGCATTTCTTCAACTCCATTATATAATTCAGATAATGAAGTTTGAGGGATTGAATGATCAAATTCAAAATCAAGTTCTTTTATAAATTGATTACTTGTGTGACTTATACGACTGTTATTACCAATTTTAGATGTACTATCTTGACTTGTTGAATTTCTTGAAGAAAGATTTAAAACATTATTAGTTTTTCCAAACATTTTCCAAGGTTTATTGTCTCTAGTTTTTTTCTCATCTAAGTGAAGACTAGATTTTGAATTGCCTGAATTAGAACTATGAGTTGCTTCAATTACTTTTAAAGGCAAACTTTTTGAGCTATTTTTACCAGGCAATTCCTTATTTTTTGCTAATGGCCTACAATCATCATCATCAATAACAATAACTTCATCAGATATCTGATGGCTTTTACTAAACAGCTGAGCTATAGTTGGTACATTATTTAGTAATCGAGTAGGTCTTTTTAAATCATTACTCATTAGCACATCAATTTTCTCCCCAGAAGTTGGTTTAACCTTTAACGGTGTTTTTATTTTATTACGAACTACAATAGGCTGGTTAAGAAATGACAACATTTTTGAGTCATTTCTACCATCATCACATCTTATATTTGTACTTTTAAGTTCAACTATCCTTTTTTTGTTTAATAATGTTTTATTAAGTGTGTTACCAGAATTTAAGATAGACTGTCCATCTTTACATAGTAAAATAGTATCTGTAACAGTAGAGTCATCAACAGGAAAAAAAGATTCTGATATATTTGCATTGTCAATATGAGACTGGCCTATCATAACGTTTTTATACTCTGTAGATACATTTTTTATAGATGAATTTAACACAAAATTAGCTGAAATTTCCTCCAACATTCGGTTGCTTATTTCTTTATTATTCACTTTATTTGTTAATATATTCTCTACAGAATTATTTGCATAGGGTTTTTGGATACAAGATCGTATAAATTTAGGTGTAGTTTGAGTTATAATTTCATCATGAACAGACAGAGGTTCAACTTCAATCTGGTCTATATCAATTAATTCATCTTCAATTAAATTGGTATCAGTCAATTGAGGACCTCCACTTAGTTGCTGCAAATTATCTCTTTCTTTTTGCATGTCAAACAGTTTACTATTATTTAATTGCTTAAAACCACTTTCAGCTCGGGTTTGACTTCTTGTTGCTCTTTGTTCAAGTCTACTTATATTACAATTATTAATAACCGAGATAACAGTATCTTTCTTTTCTCCAAATAAATTGTGTGAATGAATATTTTGAATGGAATTTGTATTGTCCTCCTCATTTTCACTATCGCTTAATAAATCAACAACATTTAAATTCTCTTTTGATCCAGTTTTAACTGCAGATATAGGACTTTTAGGCATTTGTTTTTTCAAAATTGGTAAATCTGCTGATTTATTGATCTGATTCACAGATTCAGATGTTATAGTATCTATTTGTACTCTATTTAATGTTGCTGACTGCAAGTTCTCCTATAAAAATACATACTTATATATACACATACAATTAAACATCATATTTATTTTAAAATTAAGAATATTAATAATATAAAATACATTTATAATCAAAAATAAATAATAACATCACATGTATGTACAAATATAAATATCTTCCCTCAAAACATATATTAAAAATTAAATATCTTTAAATTTTAAGTTGAGAACTAATAATACTACACACAAATTATTTAAGTCCTACACATTAGAAACTAATATAGCATAATATAACTACTAATAAATATTATAATAAATTAATTTTAAACTTAAATAATATTGAAGGACAAGAATTCATTGATATTAGATTATCAGTAATTAAAAGTAGATTTATTTTTTTATTTTTATCTTATATTTGAATAAATTTCAGAGAATATCAAAATTATAATAATGAATATTAGTTTAAATAAAATATAACTAATATTTAAAAATTATCTATTTGTATTATTATGACAAAAAATATGATGTAATCAGATTTCATACCTATAAAACTTTAAAATGACAGTCAGACATAGAAATGATTTTATGAAGCAAATGTTAAAACAAAATACACTAGAGATTTAATGTTAAAAGGTTTTGCAAACTTACTTTTCTAGAAGTATTTCCAACAAGTACATTATCTGCTTCAACAACATCAACTAGGAGAACAGAAAACAATTTTAAATAAAATAAATGAATTTATTATAAAATACATTTTCAATACACATAATAAATAAAGGGTAAAACTTTAAAACACTTACTCGGCTTAGTTTTCTGAACTGATTGTGTTGGACTTGGAATATAAGGATTTGCTGGAGCTTCTAGTAATTTGGAAAGTGTAGGAGTTCCTAATAGTTTATAAAAATAATATTACTGTCAATAATACTAGTTAGGTATTTATTACCTAAATACCTATTTATTTTTTTTTAATTTATGTAAGTAAAATCAAATTATACGAATTTGTACAAAAAAGAAATACACAATTTACCTTGAGTTCTAACACTGGTAGATAAAGGTAACAGTTTTCCAGATCTAGTTCTAGAAGTGCCACCTGGAGATTGTAACAAAGAAGTAATAGTAGTAACAGTCCTATTAGCTGGTATGGTATTACGAGATCTTAATAGGCTCGTCAATAAAGGAGCAGATGGAGTATTCCATTTAATTGGCTATAACACAGAAAAGTTCAATGTTAAATATGGTAAAATATGTATTTTATTACAAATACCGATAAAAATAAAGTTACTAATAATTAAAAAAACTCACTTCTTCTGATAAGGATGAATTTAAATTTTCTGTAGCTAAACTAGCATTTTGTCTGTTCATAAGTTGATCCATATATTGTTTACTTTCAACTTCATTTCTGAAAAACATATTAACCATTATGCCAATTAACTATATATATTTTTTTAATTATTTTTTTTTTTTAAAGCAATTTTATTTACAACCTATACAACATTATGTACAATGAGCAAATTTGATAGTTGATGTAATAAGTAACAGAATTTAGCATTTGTGGGCAGGCACTCAGCAGCACCACCCGAAACTATATATTTAAAAACAATTTAATAATAATAAAAAATATATTAACCTTCTTGCATGACAATAAAGATTCACAATTTCTTGTCTAGATAAATTTCCTTGTTTCACACGATTCAACATATTAAACAAACTACAGTATTTTGCTTTTAAATTGTCTTTTGATTTATTAGCATCTTTTATGTAATCTGTTATAATTAAAAAAATTAGTATATAATTATTAAGAGATGTAACACAAATTACTAAATAGGCAAAAAATTATTTAAGTTAATAATGTATTTTTATAATTATAAGTACTTATATTTACCAAATTTTAAACATTCTGCAATGTGACGCAACATATCATTAAAGGGCAATTTCATTTCCTTACTATAATTTGACACAATAATTTTAAATTGACGTTCACAACTTTTTGTTGTGTACCATTCTCTAGGTCTGTAAGGTTCTCCAGAATTTCTAACAACTTGAGCAACAGATTTCCTAAACAATGTTATATTTTATATATATAATATATGTATATTATATAGAATTGTATATACGAATCCATCACCATTTAACATTTTTTTTTTTAATATTAACATGTTACTTGAGGCATGGGTTAAATTGAGTGACCCCTGTGCTGAACTTTTATTACTTTTATTACAAGAATCGTAACATTATAAAAGTAGTCAGAATTTCAATAGATGACAAATTTAATAATGTAAGAGGTCTTATTTATACAGAGGTGCAAAAATAAATGACTTGTTAAAGCCTGGTATTATTGGGAGTTAAGAAAACAATGACAATTAACCTTGCTGTGTTAAGGAAATGAGCTTCCTATATTCTACACCAGGCTTATCAAACTCAAAATCATCTTTCAAAACATTTAATATTTCACATAAACATATAAGAGTTGGTGAGAAAAAGAAAAACCCATACAAATTCAAGTTTATGTTAATTAAATTTATTTCGTAGCTGATTTTTATTACAAATTATTGAACTAATCTATTTTGAGTTAGACATGCCTGTTTTAAACTGCTTGTAAAAAAATTAATTAGGTACTGTAAAATACAATATTAATATTGGTAGATATTTACCAATCATGGATTCCATAATGACATATAGCAGTTATTAACCAAAACTTTTCTCTGGATGTCCATGTAATTGCTTCTGTTAGAGGTTTCCTATCGATCCATTTATAAATTGAATCTATAAATTAATAATAAAAATATTATAAATTGTTTATCTTCAAAAATGTGTGTAATACTTATTGCTAATACCAAAAAAAAAGGTATATAAATAACTCCAGAAGTTAGACAATCATATTAAATATACTGATACCCAACTAGTAGTAATATAAAAGTCCATGTACTTTGAACTATGGGTGGATTTAAAGTGGCAATGTAGAAAATAAAAAAGCAGGGTTTCTACAGATGTTAGATTTCAAAATGCACCAATTTTCCAGATTACTTTGTATGAGATACTACATAATAAGCCAATAGTATAAAAATTATTTTTTTGTTTACATGACATCTATATTTATGTTAGTAGTAAATATAAATTTGTTATGATATATTTTAATTTTCTCTTCCTGTAATATAGCTCTACTAATTCTACTTTATATCATTTATTCATTGAATCTGTATGTCAACCAGTGGCCAACCAGTGGTCCACGAGAAAAATATGAAAACTTAATAAATTATGTTACAAATGAAAAAAATCCTTGATTATTATTTTATAATTTTTTTTTTTTTTAATAAGTGTAACATTATTTTTGGAAAAAGAGCTTTAGGTTCAAAATATCTGAATAAGGGACCTGGGACTTGAAGTATAAACACTATAAACTTTTTTAGAGTTCTTTAGAATTTGCATTTATGAACCAGAGATCCATGAGGTCAAAAAGGTTGGGAAAGTGTTGGTATGTGATGTAAAGTGGTAGATTAAAGCTCTTTTAACTAATAAAATTTCATACAATACTATACTCGAGGCTGCCCCATGAAGATATACCCCTTTAATATCTCCGAAGACAATAAAGATAATAAAATTATGTTTTTTTTTATATATATATATATTACTCACAGGAGTGAGAGACACAAATAATTATATAAGAATTTTTTATTTTTATTAAAAAAATAACTTTTTATTTTATTATTTTTGGAAAATTTTAAAATAGCCATTCTGTAGTTTATTTTTCTAAATATTTGAATGGATCACACATTTATATCTGATAAATAGTTTTTAAGTAGCAGCTGTTTTAAATTCTACTAATTTGTATGAAAACCTATGATATCTAGAGAATAATCACTTTTTTTACACAAATCATCGGTTTTCACATAGATTAATAGAATTTAAAATGACTGTTATCTAGAAACTATTAATCACATATAAATGTGTGATACATTTAAATTTTCAGAAAAATGAACTCTACAAAATGACTATCTTAAAATTTTCCAAAAATAATAAAATAAAGTTATTTTTTTAACTGTCAATAAAAAAAAATAAAAATAAAAATTTAAATATATATATTTATAATCCTCATCCTGTGAGAAGATTAACTAACAATATTAAAAAATTAACTAGAATAAAAATTCAACAAAAAATATCTCTTGATGTTTTTCTATTGGGGTAATATTTTTGGTAAAAAACTTAAGTATAACACAATGAAAATGGTAATGCTGGGGTGCGCCGTAAATATTTTCTGTTTTACCTATATAATCTTCATTCCTTCTTTCTCAACTATTTCTATTGCCAATCCTTTGGAACAATTTTTAGTTCTGTTAATACGTTTACATGAAAATAAACATTCCTTTTTATTTCTTTATGTTTATTTTGTTTTTTTCTATTTTTCAAAATTAATAGTAATATAAATACGGCAATAACATCATCAGATAACATCTTGTAATCATAACTACACAACACAAGAAAATGAAAAAATGATGTTTGTTTTCAGTTAAAAATGAACGTGTGTGTACACAAGGGGCGTCAGTTTTAACTGACAATTTTTACTGAACAGTTTTAACTGATTGTGTGTAGCGCCACCATAACGGTGGATGGTTAATTTATATTATTAGTATCAAATTGATTATTTTTAAATTTTTACACTATCGGTACTTTTGTTCAACATTGATAACGAGTATTATAAGGTCATTATTTCAGTTGAAACACATATTTCTAGTTTCTATAGTTTTTTGTTTAATTTTCAACTGTTCTAATATAATTTCTAAGGTACAAATAATGTAAATAGTAAACAAATTAATAAAATAAATAATGTTTATTATAATGAATATTACATTGTGTAAGTAATACATTTTTTTACTCAGAGTTATCTTTTAGTCAAAAAGGTAAGATACTGGATGGGCACTGTTGTAGGTGGGAAGTTGGGTAGGTAAGACACATTAGGTTATTTAATTTATATCTGTAAACAATAATAAACGTGGTAAGTAGGTACTTATTTAAAATAACGAAATCGTGAAAAAATTGTATGTTTTTTGCCGGTTAATCGCTTTTGTTTTAAATACCGTTTCGAAAATCAAAAAATGACAAATGTATTTACCAGGTAGACAAAATTGACTTTCAAAAAAGGTGCTACTATACTTATACATTGGAGTAAGTTTTCTAAGAGAAAAGTAGTTCCCAGTAAAGAAAAAAAAAAGTATCATCTTAAAAAAGTCTTTCGAATATTTTGGAAATGTTATCACGTCTAGGTAAATTTAATAGACGAAAGACGATTCTGAGCGGAGATCTGTTAATCTTAATAATATTTCTTTTTCAATAAAAAAATTGTACAAACGTGTGTGAAATTGTACGTTTTTTCCGGGGTTTTCCCATTTATTATAAAAACTACAGAGAAAATCAAAAATTGACTTGCGCCACAGTATACAAGATTCAATATGCAACAAAAAAGGTCTCTTGTCGTTTTTATATTAGAGCAATAATTTTGGTAGAAAACGTCCGTAAATTATTTTATTGATATTTGACGAAAAGAAAACATGAAAACGTAATATTTTATACCAACTGCTGTAGCGCTGTTATAATAATATAAATTAAATTATTATATTATGAGTTATGACTGGTGGGAGCGCACCATAGAGAAAAGAATATTTAGCACGGTTTTGTTTATTTATCGCAATTTACTTCTATAGGTACAAAGTCCAAACTGGGAATTGTTGTTTATGACGGTCGGTTTACTTATCTGATCCCTCCCGCCCACTTATGCTAATACCACTTATGCTAATACCACTTATGCTAATACCACTTATGATAATACCACCTATGATGATTTCGATTATAATTATTTCTTTAATATTGGCATGCTAATGCCATCTTTTGAGAACTGTGTGTTATTAATTACAGCTAAGACATATTTTGTATAGCCGTGAGCTATCTATGTATATTTAATCAATGCCTGTACCTACGAAATGATTAATCTTGTTAACGTACAACTATTCTGAGCGGAGCTTGGATAATAGTATTGCTTTTTTAACAATATATATTATGTCATATTACGACGTCTCTAAGTGCACCCAAAATGCATTTGTTTTTACCTATTCTCTGCCCGACGTGGTTTAGTAAAAATATTTTTTTCGAAACTAAGGTTTGAACTTGCGATATCTGGGATGACAACGGGTGCCACTATTAGACTACGATAAACGTACTGTAAAATCGACAATATTGAGTTATTTATACATAACACATATGATATGCGCATAATACCACAATTTCAAAAAGTTATAATTTCTAAACTAAGTCAGTCAGCTCAATTCTGACTTCACCGTCGTTCTTAAATCGGCAATATAAATGTATTCAAACAAAGAATAAAAGAATTGAAAAATTTGCATGGACCTGCAGTTGCTATATTTGTTTTACATAGGCATATAGATAATTTTTTATTTAAACGATTTTTGTCAAAATTTCATATTAAAATTCCTCTATAAGAAAAATACTACATTAAACTCAAATTCTTTTTTTATTATTATTACAAAGCACGGCTTTTAATAAGCCTCCTGTTAAATTTTCAAACTTTTCTGTTTAGTCTTAAAATTGTATCCACAAAGTACCTACCGAATAAAAATTACGTACAAAACTCCCAAAATTGAAATGTCTATAAAAAGCTCAAAAATGGTTGGTTTTTTTTAAATTTCATCACGTCTAGAATAGCAAATATAAGTTTTCTGTCCATTTCAAATTTCTACGAATATTTAAAACAGAATAACAAAAAACAAAATTGAAAATAATAAAAGCATTATTTTCGTAAATTTTCGTAAACAAGAAAAATAGAGTTGATTTTAAGTGTTTTCTAAAGATGATGCAAGAAATGAAGAATTATTTAACATGTTTTTTAGATAAAAATGTTAATACTGACATATTCAATTTACGAAAAAGTCAAAATAAGACATTTTCCCTACTATCCCGAATAACTAGTCAACTCTTTGGGTACACCAACATTTAGTGCAAGTAGCATTTAAGTTTTCAGTGTTGCAGGTAGAATAATTTTACAACGCAGGAGTCGTCTAAAAAAACAGTCAAAATACTGTATGTCAAAACACACAAGTACCTACATAACAAAATTTATATTATAATATATTAAATATTTAATAAATTTAATTTAAACAAATTTTGTATTTAATAATCAATTTCGTTTATAGTTTTTAATTATCTTATTTAGGTATAAAAGAATAGGTTCAAATAATAAAAAAAAAAAAAAAAAAAAGAAATATTAAAATGTATACCTAGTAAAATAGTGATTAATATTATATTTGATGATTAGTCAATTTAAACGATTGATTTTTGGGGACTTCTCCGAAAACGATAGTTTCAAAAAATAATAAAGATCCGAAATCGAAAAAAATTACTGACAACCATTGCAAACGAAAAAAAATGTGGTTTCAGAATAATTTTTAGCGGGGATTATAGCTTGTTTAAATAATTATTATACCTATACCCAATACCAAGATACCAATTAAATAATTTAATTTAGATACCACTGTACACCGCCTACTTTATACCACCAAATTACTTGGCAACTATTATGTTTAACTCCAAACCTTCTTTTTTTGGTATATAGGCGGTGTGCATTATTTTCTGTTTAATACTAGGTCAAACCGTAGGAAAAATTACAATTTAAAATTGTAAGTACATTGCATACATGTATATTATTATTGTTTAACCGCCACTGGTGTATAGAATATGTACATATTGTCTGTAGGTCACAACGGTTTATGCAATTAAACTTGCGACTAATACCATGATAACAACCATATCAATTGCCCACCATGGTTACTGCTGTTAACACTAGGTACCTACCTACTTAGTGAACTAATATTTATTCCGAATTCATTGTTTTGCCTTTTGGTGCGCGCACCTGTGCGTTACTTTTTGTCTGGAATCGGCAAGAAAAATCCAATAGGGAATCGTGCGTACATTATAAACGTCTTGTATATCATGATTATCGCCATTGCACGGTGGGCCGGAACACGTTCAAAAACAAATAATTTGATGCGTAAAAAATTGATTTATTTATTGTTTATTGCACTTAGGCAGTAACGGTATAAACCCAAGTAGTGCATGACACTCGTGTGTTATCGTAAAATTAACGTTGAATACACCGGACCCACAAGCTATAATACATACACGTACTATTAACTTTCGGTTTTCCGAAATCGTTTATACCCCGTATATTACTCGTGTGGTCTCTCAACATACACATTGTATATTTTAGACACGGCGTCATTGAAATACATCGATTAGGCAAGTGTAATATTTTATTTTTACATTATTAATCCGTTCGAAATCACTGGAGCACTGGACTTGAATATTTAATTACACCGGTGGATTGTATTTAGAGGGGAAAAAAAAAATTGCCCGCCTATAGCCGACTATCGGGAAGCTATAAATATACCGAATAAATCACAATTCATTAATTATATTTCACTATTTCATTCAAATGTATCAGTCTTATTTTTCGTTTTAAATTAGATTAAACGTTTGGATGAAGAATACTCTTATCTTACAGTAAAAGTCCCATGGAAATTGGTTCAGCCGTTTCAGGGATAAGCTAAGACAAGGAAACACATTAATTTTATTCATATGTGTATAGATTGTGTTAAAAAAAAAAACCACAAATGGCAACAATAACTAATAAGTAACTAATTTTTGGTTTTGATTTTTAAATAACTACTTCTAAGACTTAAATAAACCAAAATCAAGGGGAATACACCAAATCCTGATCTACTGTGCCTTGGTTTGAAGTTTAAACCTGAGGAGTAGGAAAAGGTTATGAATTTATTATCTTGAAATTGCTAGGTAATATAAAATGTATTACCATTCCCTACAACTCCAAAACTATTAACTCATAATTAAACACCGGACTTATATTCTCTTAAAACACTTAAAATATCTTAAAGTAAATAATAAAATAAGTAAATATTATCATTACATTCTTTTAGAAGTTTGAAAAATATGCTAAAATTATCAATAAACATCAATATAATATATGCTTTAATATGAAATTTTTTTACAACATTCCATATATAATTATCGAAACTTGCGTATTAAAATAGAATAATAGTCCACTTAAATAAGAGTAAGAATATAATATAAATATAACAATATAGGTAATTTAATTTTTGAAAACTTAAAAATCACGCTACACGCGAATGGAAAAGTGCAAAACAAAATATTTGGACCTTTGAATAGTTGATAATGATTAATGATAAACAAATAGGTTGATATTATTATCAGTGTAAAAAACAACTGCCAGCAATGCAGGTTGGCCACCATGTTTAGTGAACGGTAACACACTAAACCTTTTTAATCAAAAAGATACAAGAAAAAAAAAGAAATTGTAAATGTTCAAAATGTATTTTTCCAAGTACCGTATTATTAAAATTAATATTTTTATTCTCGGAATTTACGAAATAAGCTAAATATTTCTTAACTCATGAAATATTGTCAAATATGCAAAAAAAGAAAAAACTTTTTCCTACGAACTCAGAATTAAACGAATCGCGTCAACTCTCATCAAAATGCACAAACTCAATAACGATACGTAAAAACATATAAATCGAGTCTTTAATCATAATTAATGAGAGGCGTGTCATCATTTTTGTTTAAAATGGAGGGGGGCGCTATTTGAAAATAAAAAATGAATGTGTGAGTGTGAGTAATGTAAATAAACTCATTTAATGTAGGTAGGTGTACACAATTGTAGAAAGTGTTAAAAAACCAACACTTAAACGATTTCATAATGATAGCGTTAAAAAAAAAAAATATACAAATTCAATTCACTTAAAATCGATAGATCGTGTTAAATGGATCACCCTGTACGCCCAGTATCACTAGGACTTATACAATTGTACAATAGATAATATGCTTGTTATCAAATACCTTTGAACTATATTGTTTACACAGATAGTATTTATTTACAAATATATACACAATAATACCATCTATATAGGTGTATCTAGAAAATGTGTACCTATCTAATCAAAACACACACGCTAAAATGTTGGAAGCCGAACGGTTTTCGGTTCGATAAATGAACCGTTCACGGTACCAACGAGTAAGACAACATTAGGTACATCAAATTAGATACACGAACGACCTATATAAGTGTTATGAAAACGCTATAGATAACATTTCTACGAACAACGGCAATTGTTCAGACGGTAGATAAGCGCGCAAATCGCAATAACCAACACGCGAGCCATCAACGACACAACGCGTCGTCCTCGTCAATATTAAAAAAAAAGGAAGCCGGGGGGAGGGGGGGAAAGACTTGAGTAAAGCGGGATTACGAACGGCAGACATCGAGGAACTTACCCGGTGCATCGCTGTTGGACGCCATGTTATGGCTCGCGGCTGCCGCGACGGCGGCGAGCGTCAAACGGACGGAGTACTGTTGAGTATCGTCTGTGGCGGTTTCACGCATCCGGCTGTCACATCGTCGCGAACGTGCGATTCCCACTGTTGCGTTCGCGCTCGTACAGCCGCACGACGGCGCGCCGACGACGACGACGCGTGTCCGGTCCCTCGGCACCCCTATCGTTCACCCCAGCGCGTTTCGCTGCGAAACGGAATCCTGCGTGGCCCAAACGGACTCACGCAAACACTGCGGCGACGGGACGCTGACAAACTGATATGCCGCGTACAGAAATAAAAACCAATGCGACGGCGGCCCGCCTAACTTACATAGTATATTAACACACGCACACGCGCAAACACACAACACACACACACACACACACGCAGCAACGGGCACACAAAGAAAACTCAAACACACAAACACACACACGCGCAGGGGCGCCCGCGAGTACGATGGCGGCGGAGAGACTGCGATAATGACGCACGACGTCAACTCGCGACGACGGTGGCGACGATCGCGGACGTGGACGGAACGACGGCGGCAAAAACCTATACGAATATTACGCGCAACGTATTATTTTACCGTCGCGACATTTATTATTTCAATGAACTAGGTGTTGTCGGTCCGCCGGCCGTTGTGGTTGTGGTTGTATTGTGCGTATGTTGTTATTCTGCTAGAGCCACACCGTGTTATCGGCCGCCCAGCGCGCGCGTTTTTCATGGAGGAGATCGCGGTGGTTCGGTTAGTCGCGAGTGCGACGCCGCAGCACGGTCGATCTCCTGGCACCCCTCCTTTTTTTTATTTTTTTTTTTTACCTACCGAAGGCGACCGACGCGAAACACTGTTCAGAATATTAATGGTAACAACGGTGTAGCGCTGGTGTACGACTCTCCCTTCCCACTACCCGCCGACCGAAAACCGGGTCCGACCGTTTCAAAAACTCGCGACAGCCTGCACGCGGGCCGCCCCGAGACGCCCGAGGACCCGGCCGCTTGATATATACGCCGATCTCCCCTTCCGACACGCGTGCGCACGACGCACACGACCCACAACAATATAACGTACACGGTGTTGAGACGCGTGCGTACGCCGCGTAATTATTTTGCCACCCGCCGCAGCCGCCGCCGCCGCCGCGACCGCGGTGCAATTTCACGGTTTACGCAATGTTCACTAAAAGGAAATTGCGAACCGAGACGGAAAATAACTAACCGAGACTATCCGGGACCCATTTCGGGTCGACCGATATCGTTTGAAATCATTAACTCGTTTCAACATATTTCCATTTTATCGTTATATCCGTACGAACAATTATAATTATTCATTACACCGATAATTATTTGTGTTTACACGTGCGTAATCATCAATTACTATGCTGTAATATAATAATATTACGTAATATATCTGATGACGTAACACTATTATAATATATACTGTTGTTGCAGTTTTTGTTGTTGTTGTTGTTATTATTATCATTATCATCATTATTATTGTAATTTTTCAAAGAGTATACCGGTATCTGGAAATTAATTATTCCGATACCCGTAATATCATTATTACGCAATAAAATTATCGTGTATTCTTATCTTATTTAACAACAACAATAATATTTGTCCGACGAAAAAAACGTAAAAACCGACGGCGATTCCCGGAACCGTAGTAACCTAACGAATGAGAAACAACAACAACAACAATTCGTGTGCCGTCACAATAATAACAAACACGGACGATAATATCAATCCAAAACCCCTCCGCCCGGTCAGGCTACGGCGTTTGACCCCGGGACCACTGCCCGGTTAGCCGTACAGTTATTACTACGGTGTGACTGGAAATTATCATTATTTATCATTATTTATCATTATTATCATTATTATCATTATTATCGTTATTATCATTATTATTATTAATATTATTATTATTATTGTTATTGTTATTGTTGTTGTTATTATTATCGGATAATAAACTATATATATTGTTCCCGAGAATAATAAAAAATTATTACGATGCCGTTTCGCTCGCGCGCCAAGCCGCGGCCAACCGACGCGGAGGGCACGTAGGTGTACAGGGTGATTCACTAAGCGGCGTGTACGCTCAATTTTTTTCGATTGTGTTTTATTACATCACATATTCACATATTCTGATTTTTGATATTTTTAAGTGCAGTTCGAGGCGACATTTTCGAACACTCGGATTTTTCATAACATTTAAGTAGATGTTCCGCTTCTAAGTTTAGGTAGCGGAGAGAGTACACGCGGCGGAGCACTAATAAAACTCGCCGCGCGCCGTACCGCCAGACAGATGATACACAACTACCACCACCTCCCTCCGGTACCTAAACTTCAAAGTGGAATATCTTGTCAACGGGTAGACGAAAATCAAAAATTTTTAACGCCGAAATTTGCTTAAAGTAATAATACTCCATATCTATTTATGGACTGTCTAATATAGGTTCTCGTTTGAAACACACAAGTTGGTAATCATCGCTATAACATAGTATCTTAAACGTTTTGAAAAATTCAAGTATTCTAATATATCGGCTTTGAATATACTCAGAAATTCTAGAAATCAGTATTTGAATATATGCAAAATTTAACCAAAAAAATGGTGTTAGCACGCTTAGTGAATCACCCTGTATACAGAGTTATTTAACATTTTATGTTACAGCAATATTCTAACATTCAAAATGGACAAAAATGTATAATGCAAAAGATTTTGGATTTGTTGACGTCTAAAATAATATATGAGGGTTTTTTTTTTTTTTTTTACATTCTGAATTAAACGAGGTACTTATCTATTGGTTTTATTATGATTAAAAATTAAATTTTGGTTGTTGATATTTTTGATGCCCGTCATTCCGTTAACGAGATATTCCACTTTTTTGTAGTTCAAGTAGGAGGATAGTCGTGCCGTGCCACCAACATAGATCGCTGCGTTTGAATAGTGTCCCACTACACTCTCGCTACTAAAAATTAAAAGCGGAAAATCTCGTCAACGGGCCGACGGAAATCATAAATGTCATCGCCAATTACGTATTTAATAAACCGACACACGCCGTCTATTTATGAAATTTCGAATAAAGGTTCTCGCATTTGAATTTCAAAATTTGACGGCCCCCCCCCACCCAACCGCGCCCACCCACCCAACAGAAAAATACAGTAAAAAAACACTATTATGGATGTTTTATCAATAGAAAAACTATCTTTTGTACGGTACATTTAGCTCAGTTTTGAATATTTACATGATAAAATGACCGTAATATTTTCGAATCGACCTATATGGGGACGTGTATGTAGGTATGATGTGCCAAAAGCCCGGGCGGGTTTTTATTCGGCTAACAACGACGAATCGATACTATCTGCGCGCGTGCGCAGTGCCGGAGACGCTCCCCGGCTCGGTTATTCTGCGCGGAGTACCGGCAAAATAAATCCCCACGGATATTATGTTATTAGATGTCGTACGGGGATTTTCGTACCGATGTTATTACAAAGATGTTTTTTTTTTTTTTTTATGAACTATTCCTACCGGTAATAACACCGGATTACAAGTGTAGCGCTTTTTCTGAAAAGATATCTGACTGTGAAGGTACTTTAATCAGGCCAATTTTTTGATTTTCCCGGGAGTATATTTAATATATTTTAAAAACCAGGGAAAAAAAAAACGGGAAAATAGGTACAATAATCACAAATATTAAAGAAAATATAAAATGCATATGTAACTATTTTACGATAATATGGCATATACATTGTTGACAAAGTAACCACTATCAACCGAACTCCGCTCAGAATCGTTTTTTCGTTGGTTAATCGTTGCTTACAAATATACATTCAATTACTTATAACAGTGACTGCACCCATTATCCTCGGACAGCTTCTTAAGAACTATTATTACAAGCATTTGCACAATTATTTTTCATATCTACAAAGATATAATATAATATACAGTTATTTTTCAACCATACTAACAGCTCACCCCATTGGTATGCTTTAATAAATTCAAATTTTGTTTTTTTTTTTTTTTTTGGAATTTTTAAGTGAACGGCGATATTTTTACATAGTTGGTATTCATAGTAATCACGACATTAAATATTGTGGATTTATTTTAAGGAGTATAACAACATTTGTTTTCCAAATGAGTACCTATGAGAACATTCTCATTCGAAAAATAAAACTTGATATTGTCACAGGAAACTCCATAAGTAATATTTAAGTGTTCGAAAATATCGTTTTTCACTACGCTTAAAAATTACAAATATCAGAATTTGAATTTATGCATAATTTAACCATAAAAACGAGTTGAGTAGTGAGCATGCTTAAAAAATTCGCTGTATAATGCTTTAAATATTTAAAAAAAATAATTCAATGGATCGGAAAATTTCCCTATCCTCCCTGTTTGAACGCCCCTGACACTTGAAATAACGTTAACATTGACAAAAAGAGGGTTTTAGACCAGGAAAGTCGAAATGGAGTATGTAATAGTAATAATATAGGTATAACAGAGAGTACCAGATTTAATTTTGCCGCAAAATTGCTAACAAAAACGATTCTGAGCTCATGGATTTTTTTTAGGCACTTGGTTGTATTTTTTCACTATCGCCGAGGTTAACTAGGAAATCAAGGTGAATTCAAAGGCGCCCAAAGGAGGCAAAAAGAGCCATTGCCCCATGGGATTCTCAACTGCATGTACTTTAATCACGCATAATGGCATAATACCATTTTATCATAACAAAAAAAGACGGACATATTTAGCACGTGGGTGGCCTATGTTGTAGGTGAAAAGTTGGGGAGGTAAAAGTAAAATTTAAAGTAGGTATATGCGCAACGATTAACCATTAGTCATTGTTAACGAAAAACGATTCTGAACGGAGTTCAGTTAGTTAATTGTGTTACTTTGTCAACAATGTGTATATACTAGCTGTCTCGCGCCCGGCGTTGATTGCCCGTGCCAATTTGTATTGTTATTATTTTACCCATAATCATTTTTAGTTTTTGCCGTGTTAGAATTGAATGAAAACAAATAGGTGGAAAGTGACAAGTTCACATTCGGCGGACTAAATGTGTTCTATTGTGAAATTTGAATAGTGTAAATAATAGTAATAATGATAATTATAATAATTTTCTATTCCGTAGCAACCGTTCAATAAACAAAAATCGTATATAAATAAAACAAAGTCAGGTTAGTTACACCATTATAACTCAAGAACGGCTGGACCGATTTTGATAATCACATGATATTTTTCTAATTTCTAATAATAATTAATCACCATAGGGTAGGAGGGTAACAAATACTTTACGACTTATCCTCATACCTACCAAATATACAAAAGAAATTTCATTAAATCGGTCATGCCGTTTCGGAGGAGTGCGACCACAAAAGAGTGACACGAGAATTTTATATATAATGTGTGTCACATTATGGTACAATAATAATATAATACACATTAATATTTTCTTTAATATTTATTTTCCTGTTTCTTTTCCGGCTTTTCCAATGTTGAAAATCAAAAACTAACCTCCCTAAAGTACTACTTCATAGTCAGATTTCCTTTCAAAAAAAGTGCCATCATTGTAAAATCAGAGCAAACTTGTTGGTAGAAAAGCTTTTCACAAGAAAAAAAGGCCATCATTTTTTCAGATACTGTGTGGAGCGAAGAAACTTATGGTTTTAAAAAAATGTTTTTTTTTTTATCTGTGAGAAATTTTTCTACCAGAAGACTTGCTCGGATTTCTAAGTTTAAAATCTCTCCTAAAAGGAAATCGGTGTGGGGAGGTACTTTAGGGAGGTCATTTTTCAATTTTCTCAAGTTTTTACAGCAAATGTAAAAAATTGGGATAAACATGGGAAAACCGAGAAAAACGTAGGAAAACTGGGAAAATCTGTACGACATTAAACAAATATTATTAAAGAAAATATATAAAGCCTATTTAATTATTTTACTATAAAAATATATATACATATATATATTGTTGACAAAGCAACATTATCAACTGAAATCCGCTCGGAATCGTTTTTACGTAAGCAATGGTTTATTTCAAACATTTTTTCTCAAAGTCCTATTCCTACGTTGGGCCCGTTACATGATGATACGCAACGTTTAATTTTTGATAACAAAAAAACGGTACGGAGCGATAAGTTCGGTTTTTATTTATGTTTTGACTCCGACAACGGAAACGACTCCGAATCCCTCCCAAACATCAGGAAGTAACATAATAAATAAGCTGAAATATTTTGATATATTTGAAAGTTATTTATTCTTTATGTTATTACAAATAAATTGAGGAATTTATAGGTAATCGATACAAACTTATTCCTTTTTTGTGTTACAACAAAGTGACTATTTTAGAATCGGAGTTGAGCGAAGAAGCTTATGGTTTTACAAAGATCTGTGGGCAACTTTTCTACCAGAAGACTTGCTCAGATTTTTACGTGTATCACCTTTTCTGAAAGGAATTTTGAGTGAGTAGGTAGGTACTTTAGGGAAGTCATTTTTTGATTTTCTAATCAAATTTGAAAACCGAAAAAAAAACGGGAAAATATAAGAAATGTAGGTACCTAATCAGTTAAAATATAATACGGCATATTTTTTTTACTAGTGAAAAACTTTTCTACCAGCAATTTTGTTTAAATTCATAATGATAACAATTTTTGTGAAAAAAATTTGACTAGAAAGATACTTTAGGGTGGTCATTTTTCGATTTTGCCAAGTTTTCTCAGCAAATGTGAAGAACCGATATAAAACATTGGAAAATCGGTACAACATCAAACCAACACTATTAAAGAAAATATATAAAACCCATTTAGTTATTTTATTATAATATGCCTTATATATTGTTGACAAATCATTACTATCAACTGAACTTCGCTCATAATCGTGTTTTTTCTTTAGCAATGGTTTATTGTTGCTTACAGGTATACATTAAATTATCTATAACAGTGGCTGCAACTGTCACCATTATCCTAAGACATCTTTTTACTAATACCTACATTTCAAATGTTCAAAACAAAATTACTGTCCAAAGATAATGGAAGAGGGTGCAATAACACTGTTATAGGTGGGAAGTTGGGAAGATAGGATACAGAAGCGCTTTGATGTATATCTTTAAGCAACAATAAACCATAGCTAACAAAAAAAATTCTAAGCGGAGTTGAGTTGATAGTAATGCTTTATTAACAAAATATATGTAATATTATGGTAAAATAATTAAATAGGCATTTATATTTACTATAATTCATATTTTCTATAATAATATTTGTTTAGTATTGTAACGAATTTCTTATTTTTTCCCGGTTTTTCACATTTGCTGGGAAAACTTTTGAGAAAATCGAAAAATGATCTCTCTAAAGTACCTCCCCAGTCAGATTTCCTTTTAGAGAAAGTGCTATTATTGTAAATCGGAGCAAAACTGCTAGTAGAAAAGTTGTCTACAGAAAAAAAATCGTAATATTTTCCAAATGTATTTTGTACATTTTTTAGTTTTTCTTAAGTTTTTCGCTGTTTTCTTATATTTTTTTCCTGGTTTTTCAAATTTGCTGAGAAAACTCTTGGGAAATTTGAAAATTACCTCTCTTAAGTTTCACCCCAACAAAGTTTCCTTTCAGAAAAAGTTATATATAGTGTACATAGGAGCAGTGGCGTAGCCAGAGAGGGGCAGAGGAGCTATGCCCTTACCTCATGGGACATATTTTCTTTTTTTATTGATTTTATATCAGTACATCCATAGATAAGTATATAATATTATAGATATCTATGAGTATATAAGTACCTAGGATAATATGAATATATAATATATAATATATAATGGATATTAATATTATAAATATTATAGTAATAGAAATTGTATTTATTACCTATATCTGTGTTATTAAGGTTATATTAAGATGGTTTTGATAAAAATTGTAATTTCAATAAAAATAGTCAAAAAACAAAAATTGAAAAAACCTAGTGGAAACACGATGGGTTGATTGACATGATTCATTTATTATTTTCAAAGAACTTAACATTTATATAATCGCTACTCTAAAACATCTTCAAATATATGAAATAAATCCTGAAACCTCAACCAAAATTTAGTTATATGTGAGTGCTATAACCAAGAGTGATTTTCTTGTCTCTCTTGAAATAGCTGTTACTTGCTTCTCATATACTAAACAATTAAGTCAAGTGCTACAAAGCAAACAGCAAGACTTATCTAAAACCTTAAATGATGTAATGATTGTTAGAGAAGCTTTAGAAACTATTTTATCAGATGCTGAAAAATGTTTTAAGGAAATAATGAATAATAACTGAAAAACTTCTGAACTAGATGTTGAAATACCCACGCCTCGAACTGGTAAGAGACAAGCTGTCCGAAACAATATAAATACCTAAGATACACAGGAATATTATAAAATAACAACATGTACACCATTTCTTGAAAATCTAATTACTGGGTTGCATTCAAAATTTAATAAAAAAACTAAAAACAATTATACTACTAGAAGGACTCATACCATCTAATTTGACACATTATGACAACCAGTCAATCTTAGCTGCTGCTTCTATTTATGAAAATTACTTTATAATAAGTATGAAAACAGAGTTATTCATATAGAGAAAACAATGACAATTTTAAAATAATTACAATAAAAAAAGTATTAAATCAATAAAATAGCATACTAGGAATCATATGCACATAATAATCTAATTCATAGACCTGCATACCTAAAACCAATATATTACAATATAATATAACAGTTATAACACTCGTAACTCAAAATAAATGCTTAGGTACTTCTAAAGATACTTTATATCAAATAATTTTAAAAAAAATTGAGTATAATCAAGGACTTTGGTTTTTTTTTTCAAGATAGGTATTTCATAATAATGATTTAACTTACAGTTTTCGCTATTGTCTTTAGATCCAGAAGCAACATTTTCATCCAATTGTAATACTATGAAAAATAAAATTATAATAATATATCAGATAATCACATTTATTAACTATTTATTTTTTTTTTTTTTCAAAATAGGTACTTTATATAAATGCTTTAACTTACGATTTGCTGATTCCTCCTCTTTAGACCCAGAAGCAACATTTTCTTCCAATTGTAATGCTATAATAAATATTATTAAACATCCAAATTATACAAATTTATAAACTATTTATTTTTTTTTTTCAAAATAGGTACTTTATATTAATGCTTTAACTTACGATTTTCTGTTTCCTCCTCTTTAGACCCAGAAGCAACATTATCTTCCAATTTTAATTCTATAAAAAATACAATTATAATAATATAAGGTAATCAAATTTATTAACTATTTTTTTTTTTTTCAAAATAGTTACTCTATATTAATACTTAAACTTACGATTTGCTGATTCCATCTCTTTAGACCCAGAAGCAACATTTTCTTCCAATTGTAATGCTATAATAAATATTATTATACATCCAAGTTAATCGACTTAATGAACTATTTATTTTATTTACATAAAAATAAGTGATTAAAAATTACCTATCTTAAAAATTAAAGGTAGTATAAAACAAATAAAAATGAAATTTAAAGTTCGAAGTGCAACATCAAAGATAGTGGACTTAAGCTAGGTAATGCTTTATCACCTCTTTTTTAATTTAATTTTAGAGAAAGTGGTGAGAGAAATTAATTTTGGATGAGATGAAGAAATAATAATAGATAGAACATGTTTCAGTTTGTACACCTATGAGAAGGATATGCAAGGGGAAGAGGAACAAAAATTGCTGCTGGCTGATGTGGCTGATTAATAGAATCAGTAAAAAAAGTTGGACTTCATCTCAAAACAGGAAAAAAGAAAACACAATATATGAGTTAATAGGAGATTAGTAGCTCCTGTAATTGACACCATAACCTTGTCAATATGAGTTCAAAAAATAAGAAGTCACCAGTTAAAATTCTACTCATAAGACACTATATTAGGCCAGTAACTGTTATAAACATTATTTCCATTTAAACTACTGTCAAAAAAAAAAAAAAAATAAAATAAATATAGATGAATCTATAAAATTTAAAGTTTTTTTAGGAAACCATGACAAATTTTAAATAATTTAAAAAAAAAAATGTCATTGTTATACATTCACTGTCTCCTTGTTCCAGTATGATAAAATAGTAAGAATGCACAAAAAAAAAATTAGGAGCACCAGCCCCTGAGCACCTCCCATCAGAACTCTGATTACAATTCAAATAACTAGGTACACAGTAACATAGAAGAATGAAATATAAGAAACATAAGAATGTCAAATAGAAATTCAACAAAGAACTAAAATGAAAAATAAATGCTTCTATGCATTAAGTAATCTACAGAGCTCTAGAGTAATCGCACAAGATTTCAGTTGTATTTGGCAATCATGAATATAGGCCTACATATGATCAAGGCATTTAAGTATAGAGGATCTGATGGTTACATTCAAAAAACAAAGTATTGTGAACAAGATTAAACAGTTAGTTAGATGATTTCCTAAAAGTCAAAGAACAAAATTAAGGTTATCAGGAATAGCAATAAGTAGCAGAGAATAAATAAGAATGAAAGAGGATTATTATAATGACAAAATGGTCATAAAAAAATACAGTAGAATCCGCTTAATTGGGACACCGCATAAAGGGGACAACCGCTAAATGGGGACAAATTGGCATAGTCCCGGAAGAATGTAATTCGTTGAAGGCAATTTAACTTCGTTTATCTGGGACAAATCATCGGTTATAAGGGACAAAAATAAAAGCTTCTAATTAGATATTCTGACCTAATATATCTATCTACTTCTTATCGAAACTGTAATTATCTAATTTTTACATTTATTTTTCTTCTACTACCACGATAAGAGTCGACTGGCCAAAAACAAAATTGAAAAACTTTAGTTCGCGTTCTTTCGTCTCTGCGTGTTAACGTATGTGTGTTTTTATTGATCTCAGTTAGTTAATTAATTAATATGTAACAATTATGTCTCGTAAAGATTTAACATTGATTGAAAAAATTTCTAATCTGGATAAAATTAAAGCTCAACCTCATTCTTCCAGTCTTCGTGAGTTAGAGAAAATAATAGACACCTCTAAATCGGTACTAAGCCGATTGAAAAATAATGAAAAAGGTATTCGTGAACAGTGGGAAAAATTAAACGGGCCCCATGTTACAGCAGAAAGCTGAATTTTTTACTGAAAAAATTTGACATTTTTAAGACCACAGAAGGTTGGATAATTCGTTGGAAGGACCGGAATAATATTAAATTCAAACGATTTCACAGAGAAATATTAAGTGCTTATTCAGTTAATCGGGGCAGTCGGATAATGGGGAAAAATAGGTCACCGCCCAATGTGTCCTAATTAAGCGGATTCTACTGTATACAAAAATGATTTTTTTTTTTTATATATATAGGTACTTAATATTAAGGATTTAACTTACGATTTACAATTTCATCCAATTTAGATTCAGAAGCAAAAGTGTTTTCAAATTGTAATTCTACAATAATAATAATAATTTATAATTCTCCAACAAGCAATATTTACAAAGTGTATTAAATTAAAAATTTTTGTTGGATCACCTCCAAAGGCTGGACTAAAGGTGAGAGTTTATACAAGTAAAATATTAAATACACATATCAAGGAGAAAAAAATTAAAAATATAATATAATTATTTTAAAATGTTTAAAATAATGAATAAATTATAAATAATAGATAATCATTATTTGCAATAAATTATCATAAATACATGTTAATAATATTTAAATGTTATTTAAATCCAGCGATATGAGTTTTCTTTTAAATTGTTTAAAATCAATATAATCATAAAAAAATTATTTTATATTAAATACAAAACTAAGTGAATACAACATATGGTCCTAATTGACAAAAAGCAGTTCTCAATTTAGATAATGTAAATAATATTAATATCTTTAACAATTTGTGTTATAAGTTATAAGTATGAGTAGGACAATTAATTGTTATCATTATTATTATTATACATTCTAGTTAATTTACTTAATAAACTATTTGGTTTACATTCATAAATAATTAATTAACAATTATTTATCTTTATACCTACAAGAATTGTTTTATATATATATATATATAAATAGATACTTTATATTAAGGATTTAACTTACGATTTGCTATTTAATCCAGTTTAAATTCAGAAATAAAATTGTCTTCAAATCGAAGTTCTATAATAAATACATTTATTATAATAATAATAAATATATACCCAAGTTATTCAACATAATAAACTATTTATTTTGTTTATGTTTATAAATAATCTCTTTAAATAAAAAAAATAGTTGTTATTCTATACAGTGATTTTTTTTATTATGAACTTGCAATTGTCCGATGATTTTAAGTGAATTTTATTTTTGTTTATTTTTTAAATCTTTATTACTGTCAAGCTATATTTAAAATCTATTTAAATTTTTTCTCTTACTAAATGTAACTTACATAAGTATATGCTTTTGTTTTTCAATAAGGACTTTCTCTTTTTGAACACAGATTTTAATATAGAATATTATTCTAAAAATGTTGATATGCATAACACTAATATCAGATTTACCGTTTATGAATAGTAATCGTTTAAAGTTTAGACCGAAAGAAGTACGAAGAGTGAGAAATCGCAAATCTATTTGAAATGATAAATTGATAACTCTTTCCTACTCCTCTGGTCTAAAATTTTAACGGTTATTACTCATAAACGGTAAATCTAGAATTGGCGTTAAGCATAGGAATCACATTTTCAGAAACATTTTCTATATTCAAATATGTGTTCAAAAAGGACAAGTCCTTAAATGAAAAACAAAAGTGTATATTTAAAATAGTTTTAGAATAAAGCCTAAATCAAATTCCCATATAATCCACTGGGAAAATTGCTGTTTTGTAATAATAAAACTATCTTGTAAATACTTAATAATTAAGATTTAACTTACGATTGTCAATTTCGTCCAATTTAAACTCAGAAACAAAATAGTCTTCAAATAGTAATTCTATAATAAATTAATCGACTTAATAAAAAATTTTGTTTACGTTTATAATAAATAATTGATTAACAATGATATAATATAAGACCATCAGAAAAATTTTTTTTTTTCTATTCTAGATACCTACATTATATCAAGGATTTAACTTACCATTTGTAATTTCATCTAATTTAAAGTCAGAATCTTCCAACTGAAATCCTAATTGAAATCCTATAATACAATAATAATTATTATTATTGTACATCCAAGGTAATAGACTTAATTAACTAATAAACTAGTTATTTTGTTACGTTCACATAAATAATTGATTAACAAGTAGGTACCTATCTTAATATCCTAAAAAAATTGATTCTTTTTTTTATATAGATACTTTGTATTTAGGATTTAAACTTACGATTTGCCACTTCGTCCAATTTTAACTCAGAATCGAAATTGTCTTCAAATTGAAATCCTATAAAACAATAATTTTAATAATAATTAATAAATATCCAAGTTGATCGATATAATAAATTATTTATTCTGTTCGCGTTTATAATTTATTTATTAACAAGTACCCACCTCGATCTTCTACTAGTGGTACATCCAAAGGATCGGGCAACGGGATATCAGGATCATTTTCTTCTCCGTTCTGTTTTTCGTCGTCCATTTCCAATACGATACAACTCTTTCAATTCACGCAACACGCAACACGTAACGCGCCTACACGTTATTCACTTTTATTCCGTATGACAAAACAAAATTTGACACAGGGCACGCGTTCAAACGATAGGTACGGTATGCATTACGCTACTGACTGGAGGTAATCGACACAAATTACGGAAAGAACAAAACGCAGAACGGACTATGGACTCGCTATCGGTTGTGTACAATAGATATACTCGTTTTAATCGATAATAATGTGTCATTAATATTATTGTCGTTATTATAACAATGTATTATTAGATTATATCGGGAATTACCCCCTTACGATAATACACGTTATTGTATTTAGTAATTGTTGACGCGGTCGGCTCACTTATCGTCGTCGTTTCACGTGATGATATTTCTATTATTACACATCCGAGGAGGTGGGGCAACGGAGGTAATTCCCACTCATTCCACCCATCGGGACCGCCACTAACCGCCTACCTATAAACTCCTCCGAAATGCGAAAAACACCAGAGCGACGGATATATTTCACTCGAACGATACCCGGGGTAAAACCTACGCTTTTAATACAAAATGATAGTGCCGATTGGGCAATGGATAGGTACTCCGTATAGGTGCAGGCATACGCTGAATCGAAAACGTTCACAAATCTCCTGTACAGTTGTTGTTTTGCGGACCGCGGCAATATTCGGCGAATTAACCGAACTAATACCGTTGGAAGCGAACCCGGATTTTGGGCCGGGGGCCAAACGATTTTAGGAGCCCATCAACATGGTCGCAACGGCGGTCGTCACGACCGCACACGTTCAAAACGGCACATTTTCATATTATATGGTTTTCCCAAAATAATAGCGTCCAACACTGCGCACACATTTGTTTTGCGTCCCGTCGGACGTAGTTTTGCCCAACAGACCTGGGGGTATTTCGATTGAAATTGTCCGAGTTAGCGCAGCGGCCGAACGACCACGTCGGCTCTCCGATTCCACCTGTAATGATTTTCAACTGCCAATCAAAATTGTCACCTTCCGGATATCCATTTTCAACAATGGACAAAGTATGCGCGGTTATGAACAGTAACTGTGCGGTTCTGAACCGACGCCCAAACAAAATATTGGCGACTTATAAATGTATCTCGGAGACCGTCGTGCATTAATAATGTAATCGACGGTATTCCCATTTCCTTACCGTGATCGTTCAGCAAAAAATAGACTATATTACACGATAGCGTATTAAATAATAATATAGGTATCCATTATTCGTAATATATTATAAGAAACATATTGGCCGCCGAGGCCAAATATTACGATATTCAGGGACCTAAGGTTACGGCACTGTCCCACTGCCCTCCCCCTCAATCCGAGCTCGGTTGGAAGTTTCACCATACACTTGTATCTATAACATTTTTGTGTATCGGTCTTTCTTCTTCTTCGTATTTTTTTTTTTTTTATATTTATAAATCTTTTGTATAAAAATCACGCGTACGGCGAGTATAGTAATTGCAATGCACTCTGAAACAACTCAACCGATTTTGAAAAGATAGTGCTAGACGTGTGTGATTCGGTCCAACTTAGAAGACAGGATAGTCTTCGTCTTGATTAATGGCCTGTATATTATAGAAGGGGATAGAATGGTGGATGGAAAGTTCTTAGGAATCTTTGGTACGAAAATTAAATTATTTTCATTGAATTATGGGTTACTTTAATTACGCGGATGTAATGAAAAACAATTTAAACAAAAAACAAATAATAAACAGAAATAAAAATGTCGCAACAACTAGGTGAAACGACTTAAAAAAAAAATGAGTCTATACGACTGTCCGCCGGACTATTATCGGCTTGAATTAGGACGAGGGCCAACTTGATAACATTGATGGCGAAAAAATAAATAAAAAACTATGCGCTGTACTGGGTGGTTAAGTGAAATGTGAAAACACGTAAAACGTCATCTTTGAATCTTTGTATTTTATAGAACAGTAACAATGTCCTCATCATTTTAGCGTGGCGGCACGACGAGTGGTGGTGTTGACGAGTGTTTTAATAACGCACCACTGGGTACTCTCCTCCGACCCAAACTTAATAGTGAAATATCCCGTCAACGGATTGACGGAAATCAGACATTTCGACACCAAAATTTATTTCAACTAATACTCCGTTTGATTTAAGGCATTTTCAATATAGGTTGCTGTTTGAAAATCAAAAATAGGTAGTCGTTTCCGCCCCCCCCCCATCACCATAAAAAAAAAAAATATTAGGATAATGAAAAAAAAAAAAATTTGACTGTAGAGCTGCTTGTTTCATGAAATTGTCCATACAAAACAGTTTCCGAAAAAAGTTAATATTTTCCGTGATGATGAGTGTTTAACGATAAAAGAACCACTCGGTATATAATATACGTATATTTATATCTATATATATATATATATGTGCACATTTTCGTTCCGAGTATTACATTGAAATTAGTGAAAACTACTCCTATCGCCCCCCAAATTTCGTCTTCCCCCCCTCCCTCCCGTGTCGCTAGTACAAACGGCTGTAGATCAGTTACGGTTCGGCGGGTTATTTTCGATGTCGAGACCGATGAATTCCGGCCCGGCCAACCTTTTGACTGCAGGTCAATATTACAGCCCACTGGACCCTTTTTATCTAGAAACTTTATCGCTGATATGATTTTATAATTTATTATTTATAATAGTGTACGTATCAGAACTGGTATCTAATCTAAAATATAACAACGGACCATAAACGTCGGATAGTTCCGACGCTAATACTAAATATCACGTTATTACTCGAATACAAAATAATATTCAGTTTACACGAGTTGTTATACGTAATATTATAGGGCGTAAAAAAGCCCACAGCGTAAAATGATTTTTGCTTCAAATTAACATTAAATGTTAAATATGATTGCAGTCAAAACTATATTAAAAACGATGTGGTCAAAATCCAATGGAAAAAAAATAAATAAAATTAATATTATTTACGTAGATATTTGGATAACGGTTTACCAACTTAAACGTTTCATATTTCGAATATTTCGACGGTTAACTTAAATAAAAATGTGTGTGATTTTTCGTATTAAACACCATAGAAGTATCAACGCTTTAATATAACGTTTAGTTTTTTTTAATTTTAAAAATACTAAAAGATATATTTTCATTAAGCACACGCTTGTAGTCACAACGGCGTGCCGTCGCGCCGTATGTTGCGATAAGTGACTGTTGCTGTAACAATGGCGTGCGTAACGAAAATTACTTTTATAATATTTTAAATATTTCAAAAAACTAAACAATTTAGAATAATTCTGGTTCCACAAACGTTCTCAATGTATAAAACACATTACACGCGTACAACAAAATTCCGAAAATATAGGTACTTGCATTAAAGGTAGGTAAATAATTGTGTGAAGCGAGCAAGTTTTATTCGTATGAGATTAGCAATTACGGCGAGCCCGGGGCAATGACGTCACACGTCTTTTTTCAATTCCTCATAACTCATTGAATATTTGAAAGTAAAAACTTCTAATTCTAAATCGAATTCTTCTATACCATTTTTCTTAGGATTGAACATTATTTCTAATTAAAAAAAATGTATTTTTCGTGTTTTGCGCTCCTTTATAATGGAGTTTGTTTACAGTGAAAAAATCAAAACCACTTAACATATACAAAGGCTTTTTAAAACTATCTCCTTCAAATATTTTAGATGACAACAGTGGCGGATTTTCGGTAGAAAATGGGTGTTGACGGTCTAGACACCGATATAACTTTCAAAAATTGTCGTTCAAAAAAAGAGGCATCTATTAATAGATACCTTTTAAATACATACGATTTTTCAAGACCCTACCCAGAAAAATGTTGAAAATCCACCACTAGTTGACAGTAACACTGCAGAGCACATTAAGTAATAACAACAATAAAACTGACAATTAAGCTCTAAATAGGCAACAACTTAGTAATATTCTTGGAAAACTCATTTCATTTGTAAAAAAAAAAAAAACACATTTTGGGAAACGACTCAGTTAACCCTCCCGTGGTGTCTCCTGGGTAACGCTAATCGGATGATATGAAGTAGTAATTATTATGTGGCCTTAATTCGTACGTATTTTTCATAAACCCTGCAGACAGCAACTCGCCCTTGATTTAGGGATTAGGCCGCAATTTACCGACACCCGTAAAAACGCATTCAACATAATTCTGTTTTCGCAACTGGTTCAAAATAAAACGCGGGAAAAATTTTGTTTGGTAAATACATATTTTATTGGACGACCTGGATAAATTATTTTAATATTAGATTAAATAAATAATTGAAATATTCAAGCCAGATATAAGCATTTTTAAATCGTGATATTTTACACGCCCGTACTTCGCTTAAAAATTTAAATTACGAGAAAAAAAAACGACGACTCGACACAGATAATGTTTTTATCTTTAAATTTGATAATAAGTCGATTCATTCAAATGTTGAAACTTGTCAGTTTTAAGCTTGCCCAGAATCATCCTTGCTGAACGGAAATTTGATGTGTCGTGTGCGGTTGTTAGACGGAGACGACAGTACTTACAGACAAGGATGGAAAAAGTAAAAAACACGTATTGTTTTTTAATAATGGTATTTTACATGTTTAAAATGTGTATTTTCGTTTAAAACGGTTTTTAAAAAAGGCGTATTTATAAACAAAACTTTTTAATGAAGACTTATAAACTATAATAGTCAGTTAGGTACCTAATGGTTTTGGAAGGTTTTGATAATCAACGTTGAACAGTGTATTTAGTATTAATTAAGAACTTTTTGGGTTTTAAGTTTTTAGTATTCAGTATTAAATTAAGGATACCTGTAATACCATATACCATGTACTGATGTTATTATCGTATATGTATGATTGTATGGAAATATTGTCAGAGAATAAATTGTGGTATTGATATGGACGAATCAGTGAAAATCGATGATTCATTTATTTTTATACTAAATACCTATCATGACGATAGCATTACTGAATAATGCATAT